AACCATGTCATAACCAATAACCATGTCATAACCATGTCATAACCATGTCATAACCATGTCATAACCATGTCATAGGGTGGTCCTAGGGCCAACCAAACTCTTCAGACCAATTTTGAACCATTATGAGCAATTTTGGGATACAATTCATTTCCGTTCATTTCCGTTCATTTCCGTTCATTCTATGAACCTGGGTCATTTTGTGCGACTATGATCTCTAGGCCTAGCTCATGACACTATCTATCATATAAAACCGAATTGGGGGTTCCCAGCCCTTACGTAATAAGTCTCAAATTGAAATGACACACATGCGCCACCTATTGATTTACATTATAAACCTGGTAGCGCATGTCTGTCACTTTTGTTTTTGACACACATGCGCTAGCAGGTTTATCATGTAAATCAATAGGTGGAGCATGTGTGTCATTTAAATTTGAGACTTATTACGTAAGGGCTGGGAACCCCCAATTCGGTTTTCTATGATAGATAGTGTCATAAACTAGGCCTCAAAAGTCGCACAAAATGACCCAGGTTCATAAAATGAACAGAAATGAACGGAAATGAATTGTATCCTGAAAGTGCTCATAATGGTTCAAAATTGGTCTGAAGGAGTTTTGGTTGTAACCATGTCATAGCCAATAACCATGTCATAACCATGTCATAACCATGTCATAACCATGTCATAACCATGTCATAACCATGTCATAACCATGTCATAACCATGTCATAACCATGTAAGAAAAAGGCGTCATAGCCATGTCACTAGCTGACCACTATGATTGCATTAACAATAAAGCGTTATTCTAAAAATAATTATGAATTATAAACGAGAAAACACGTTTCCTTTTTTATTATTCTTATTTTGTAAATGTGCTGTAATTATTTTGTAATTTTCACGCAGTACAGGCAATTACGGACAAAAGAAACGATGTTTTATATTATTAGTCTTAGAAGACTGATCAGCGCATCAAATAATGTTTTTTTCTTGATCGGCGCGATGCACAATTTATTAACTGGGCCGTACTGCCAGCTAACTGTGACATGTAAAATATTGACGTTGTTTTTTATTCGTTCGTAAATGATAAACGGTTGTGGGTTGCGGATTTTAGCGCGATGCACTACTGGGTCGCGCGCGCATCAAATAATGCTTCTCGCAACGACAGTAGTGTGCAAACCAACATTCGAACCACCAGCAGCTGGTGGTCAATTTCCTACGAACGCGACTTAATTTTGGTTCAGACTGGAGTCGAGCGCTACGTTATAGCTGTATATATAGCTCGTTTCACGACGAAATCTTCATTTATTGAGTTTGTCTGTCGATTATGTTGGAGTTTGTACTTTTAATTTTGTACTCGAATACTGTTAATTTATTTTTATTAAATAGTTGTTTTTCGTAACAGCACACTAGTACGTGATTCCTTTTGTTATTCTTACATAATTAGGAAGATTTTAAACTTCAATACTATAAATAATCAAATATTTACGAACACCGATCATCGGTATGTACCCATTATGCATTATTGGTATCGAAGTCTTATGTTGAGCTTGATATCGAAAAATTTCAAAATGTAAGGCTGTAATTTTGTACTTGTTTAGGTGTAGAACTAGGATTAACAACTTGATTGCTAGGAGCTAGGAAGAGATTTTAGTAATGATGACCCTTTAAACTTAAACTATATCTCTAGTGCACTTCGATCGGTTTTCTTTTCAATTTTGATAAAACCTAGTCGTGATCTTTGTTTCAGAACTTCACTAATTTATTAAGTTTTGTAGTTTATATAGACGGAACATGAGCAGATACCATTTGATTAATTATGATATATCCGATTTGAAATATTATTCTGTCGGAGTTTGAGTTCTACATGGACACATTTATTAACATCCCGCATGAATTTGTGTCGTCTTTACAATTTTTTGCGCTGAATTTGTATGCTTATTAATACTGCCGCATGATATCAGTAGCTGCTATAAAACTAGAGTGTATAGCATGTGTATTATACGATGTTTCCCACGTAAAAATCGCAGGTTGTTTTGGTGCGGCTGGGCACTCTACTGGTGATTGACACCAGAGACTGAGAAAAACTTTGACATAATTTTCAAGTTTGATATGACCTAATAACTACCACATTTACAGGAAGTATGGTAATACATTCTTGTCAGCTGTCTGGGCAAATCTTCTCTCGCAGAATTGGATTAAAATTTAATGTATTTTATTTCTCACTTCCAACGATGTCGCAATTATTAGGTAAAATTTGAAGTTATTTTGAGATTCAATTAATAAATTTTAGATTGCAGCTTGATATCACTTAGTATGTACATTGTACTCGGTTGCAAGGGTAGAACTTATGAGAATACTATCATAGTATTATTGCACTATACTATTATGGGTTCATCAAAGTTCGTATCATGATTTGTCACAATTAAACCATCGAGTCACTTGAGGAAACCCGTTAAAGCTCGCAATTGGCGACGAGATAAAGTTTGTGGTACCTCTAGATGTTAAGTTAACTCTTAGGCTCCAATCTTCCTTACTATACCTACCACTCCTTCTTCCTTGATAAGAAGTAGATCCATCTGGAACAGTGAGCTGCTTCTTCCCTTCTATCCCGTACTAGCCTACTCAGCTCTCTCCAAACCGTGAACAACTACTCCCGGTGCTAGAACTTTAACCGCATAATTATAACAGCACAATTCTTTCGCTTGAATCTCAGTCTGCTGTAAGACTGCTGTACCGGTAGAGTTTTTACTTGTATGATTCAGCAATCCTGTTAATCCTAACCCTGAGGAAGAAATGAATAGTTTGTTTCACAATGTACATAAAGCTGCTGAGGTTAGTATTGGATACCTTCCTAGGAAACGCCCTAAAAACTTTTGTAATGACCTTGAAATTCGAGAGATGTCTGATGAAAAGAAAGTTCTACAAGCTCTACTCAATCAGAACAACACCTCTGAAGATAGATCAGTTATACGTACCAAAATCAATCGTATTCAAAATGACACTCGTAAGAGAATCAAGCTCCTTCAAGAAGAGCATGCAGACACTCTTGCTGAAGAGATAAACGAAACTGATAGTTCTAGAGCATACTTTGCAGCCACTCGCCAACTAGCAGGTATCAAACGTGCTCCAACCATAAGTGTGCATGATGAAAACTCTAACTTCATAGGTACAGACACTGGAAAAGCTGCTACACTAAAGAACCACTTTGAAGAGAAGTTCACTGCAAAACATACAGTTGAGCCTATTGACACTTTCTTTGATCAACCTAGTCCTCTCGCTGACCCTATTACTGCTATTGAAGTTGAGATAGCTGCTAAAGCTTTGAAGAATGGTAGAGCCACTGGGCCTGATGATATCCCAAGTGAATTGATTAAGTATGCAAACAGAAGTGTATTTCAGAAATATGCAGACTGTATAAATACCGCATTTGAAACAAACACCACCATAACATCTATTGGAAAAGGCAACATTACTCCACTCCAAAAGCCTAAGAAACCACTTGGTCCAGCAGCAAACATCAGACCTCTCACCCTCTCAAACTGCTCCAGAAAATTACTGTCAATGATTACCCTAAAACGTATCCAAGGCAAGCTAGATCAGTACACCGGTCCTACACAAAGTGCTTACAAGAGAGGTAGAAGTTGTGGCGATATAATTTGGTCTCAACGTATGCTAACCTCAGTGGTACTTAGAAAGCATTGGAGCTACCACAGAATGAGTATAGACATGTCAAGTGCCTTTGACACCATCAGCAGAGAAACAGTACTCAATGTTCTTGAAGATGCTGGCTGTACTAGTGATGAAATTAGGATGGTACGGCTCCTACTATCAAACACAGTGTTGAAAGTAAAAGTCAATAATACTGTATCAATTGAGTTCCAAAGCACAACTGGAGCATTTCAAGGAGATGCACTATCAGGTAATCTATTTACTGTTGTTGAAGCCGCTGCACTTATTCACCTCAGATCTGTACTCTCCCAAGTATCATCAACACCTTACCCAGTAAATCATCCAATCCCTAATCCTCCTATCTCAGAAGAATTCATGCCACTCGAAACAGGATACTCTGATGATATTGACTTTAATAACACTGAACTTGCTCCACTCAAAGAAATGCTTCCTATCGCTAAAGATATATTCCAGCAGTGGGACCTTCATATCAATTCTTCCAAGACGGAATTTGTCCATTTTTATTTAGCAGATCCTAAACCCACTGTTAAACGCAAGGTGATTGTTGGAAAAGTGTATAGAGGTGATGAAGAGTGGCGCTCTAACAAAACTTTAGGATCGTTGATGTGCACTGTTAAGGATATCAAGAATCGAATATTCCTTGGTAATGTTGCCTTTAGTAAATTTCAGAAAGTTTGGATGAAGAGCAAGATTTCAGTCCAAAGGAAGATCAAAATCTACGAGGCACAAGTAGTCTCTATTCTACTCTACAACTGCAACTCCTGGGCTGCACCACTAGCTTCGTTGAATGAACTTGATATTGCTCATCGCAAACACCTCCGAAGAATCCTCAACATCAGATGGCCTACTGGGGTTATTTCTAATGAGGCACTCTATGCTCGTTGTTATGTCACTCCCTTGTCTGTGAGAGTCTCTAAGTTTCGATGGAGAATGTTAGGACATATCTTAAGAGGACAGGAAGACTCACCAGCATACACCTCTATGTTATTTGCTATAAATTCTGATATTTTTATGGAAGGGAGACGGGGTAGACCATGTTTAAACTTATTAGATGTTATTAGAAAAGACTTGACTAGTAGAAATCTTGATATTAGACTTAAGAATTTGACTGATTTCGAAGACCTTAGATTTTTGGCTTTAGATAGGGAGGAATGGAAGAAGTTAGAAGATGGTTGATGTTTTTGTTTTCTTTTTTATGCGTTTTGATATCTATAAGGTGCCTAGGATGCTCTTTTAAAGAGATATTTCGTACTTTGAAAGATTTACTACTACTACTACTATGATTCAGCAATCTGCTCTTTAGATGGTACCGTTACCTCCCGCCATAAGACTGTGCCGTCTTGGTGACCTTGAGAATATCATAAGGTCCGATATATAAAAGCACTATCCAATATCGAGACCCACTCAGGATCCCAAACCACGACTCCTTTCGGTCGTCTGTACTTGCTTTTTTCCTCCCAGCATGGACTAAGTCAATGATACTGTCTTACATCGCTGGCCTTGTTCTTATAAGTGTTCACTCGGCGCTCACAAGATAACATGTTCAGAGATCTGTTGCAGAACCTTGTCGTGCCGTCATTTATATACTCCTTGACTAAGAGCTACTTTACACCTACAGCAAAAATGTGCTAAATGATACCCATCCTCTCCTCACATTACTGTACTTGCACTTACCATCCTCATCTTCGCCATAGAGGTGGTTAAGAGGGTGACGTACACAGCATCTAGCACGAATCCAATAAGTGAGTCTACAGTGCGTGTCGAAATACATTGCATGTACCCTTATATATTAATTGAGACAGAATTTTAATAGATCAACAAATTCTTAAAATTTAAAAAGGTAGAATTTAATTCTATGGCATTTATTGAAACCTGCTTTTTTAAAGTTGAGAATTGGTTTCAATTTCTAGAATATCACGATAATGTTGACTCAAAACTGTTTCAGGCAGCTATCAAGTCTCAAGATATGACATAATTTGATAGAATGTTAGTACCAACGCTATCAGTGCATTGAAGTCGAGTTCTCGATACAGGTATTATAATTAGGTTCTATCGACCGTTTTTGTAGTCTTAACTCATTTTTATTTGTTATTATACGACCAATTAAAACCTAGCAAACCAGACTTCTTTATGTGCTAAATGTTACTTTAACCTTAATAATAGCAGCATTGTGGCAGATATCCAGTTACATTTTTTCCAGCCGTATATTATAAATATACAGGGTGGGCCAAAAGTCAGTGTGCAAACGTTGGCATTAATAGCTCAGTCACTGAGTGCCCAATTGAAATAATTGGCTCTGGTATGACTTACTACCACCACTGGTTCGAGAAATTTGTCAAATCGAAACATATTTGTGTTCATTGTTTTCAAAAGAAGGTTCATTTTCGCATTTATTTGATAGTTTGGATAATCGGATCGAGCCAAATTTTATTGAATTGTGTTTAGCCATTTAAATTACGTTTGCTCTAAAAAAATGAGAGTATATATATATTACTCATGCAACTAAGATAAATTGAGTATAAATACTCAATTTATCTTAGTTTAAGTTCCAAGTTATATAACTCATTTTCTAAAGGTCTCGTAAACTTTAATCAATTACAGAGGGTGTGGCCTCTTTTTCACTGAAAAGACGCCATCAGATTTCATTGCATTCTGGGACCAATTTTGGTGTGATTTAAAGTATCCTACAAATTGGTGTTTACTGTTTCAACTTTTGTAAAATCACTGTAACAATATAATCTGTATTCTTATAGTTTCAACCATAATAGTGAAATAGAGGGGCTGGCCAATAGCCACACCCTCTGTAATTGATTTAAGTCTACGAAACTTTCAGAAATTTGTGTGTAATTCGGAGATAAATTAAACAAGTTGTTATCGGCCACCATGTGTAAACGGAATGTTCTAGCAGACTGTATAATACTATAACATACATTTTCTTACACACACATAATCTAATCTCTGGAATGTTGCTATGATATCAATGGCAATGTTTTGATACTGTGTATCATCATGATTATGCCTTACAGGCCGATCTTCCGATGGAGTTTCGGTTGCCATGGCAACACATCAATATGATAAAGAATTTTTAAACGCAGTCACAACTCTGTCGTGTACACTGTACGGTGCGAGCGGTTATTTTATGATAGGTAACATCTACTTTTTCAGCATTTGCGGGATGACCAGTTCACACGTATATTTTCGCAGACACAACTTCGCATAAAATTATATCCAATTATTCTATAACCAATTATCTACACGGACTTCTGTCTAAATATGAATGAAATCGAGAAAACCAAATATTATATGTTTCATCCTGAAGTGCTGAGTTCTCAGGCAGTAAAATCATGATCCTGATAGATATCGAAGTCTCCTTAAATGATTGTCTCTGCTGCTTAATATATCTGGATTGTCGTTGGGAGGCGATGCAGATTTGTTTACTTTTAAGGGGGAGGTTCTGCTCAGCAGGAGATAGAGGTGATGCACATTTTGTATTTGTCTGACATGTAGGACTTGAGCCACGTTTCCGTAAGTGCAATAAACGGTAACGAGTGGTTTTTGGATTTCTCCTGAATAAGAGCTGAGATTTTTGGCACTTCCCATATACTCGCACTTGATGCACTAGGATTCATGGACTGGACATTTAAGACGAGGCATGAGGAATAACGGGCACGTGCAGTGTATCCTCTGAGGCGGTAGGAACTGCTGGTAGTGGTATAGTGGGAGCGCTGTTCCTGGCTGAAGAGGTGGATGTGGTCTGGGGTAGTGGTAGGGCATTTGAGTTTGAGGGAGGCTGGACCGGTGGTCGACTATTTCTGATAGGAGTCCGATCCTGGTTTGCATCGTTTCCAACAGTCTCCGTAACTATAACAATCCTGTGATCTGGTATTGGTTACTTAAACTTATTTAATTGAACATGGTGTTTGACGTTGGAGCTTATCACTTTACAGTTTACATCACCTTACCTGAATAATTGAATAGGATGAATACTGAATAGCATTTATTAATGCTTTCTTTACCCGGAGAACTCTGTTTTACTTGTCCCTCGGTAACACAAGACCGTGAGCCGTGACACTTAGTCACAATAATTAAGTCATAAGTCAGAAAGAAGTCCATAATTCGTACACCCATGATTATGTTAAATATAGATTGACTCCAGTCTCCATTGTTCAATGACTTCGTCAAAATGTTTTAGGAAAATGTTCACAGATTTGTTAATTTTGGACTCAAATTAACGTTGAGAAAAACTGAATTTATTTTGGAAAAATCCCGGCTAAAACCAAAATCCCGGCCGGTACCGGTACAAAATCGCCAAATACCAGCCGGTATTCCGGCTGCGCCGGTTATATCCCGGTCGAGTTCTGTCTGAGACCTAATTTTCTCTATTTCTCGTGCAATTTTAGATCAGACACAGTCATCTAAATTATTTAATAAGAAGGTTTAAATTATAAGCAATTAAAAACAGTTGGGACTATCATTGTTTGTGAGTACATATTATACGAATATAAGGTGGTTAATATAATTATAACACATTTAATATAAAACATTTAAGACACATTTTTTATTCCTGCATTGTACTCATTAATTTAACTAGTAATATTATATAAAAACCACATTTCTATTTGTACAGGGAGCTGCTGGTAAACTACCGTCGCTATACATCGACTATGACTACAATCCTACTTTTAAAAACAAACTACATACATATCTCACATTTGCGAGGACTACTTCATCACAAGCAAAAAATCGACATTGGTAAATAAAGGTAGTTTCTTTTCACTGACTTCGTTAAATGAGTTACATATTTTCACACAAATTACGTGCGTGATCATTAAAGGGTTGCTTGTGTGCAGTTACTTCTGGGCCAGCGCCACCCTGTTGGGAGTTTTCACATAAGTAAATTTGCCGATAATACAATTTTACTCATTCTGGACATGTTACCTATATTATCATTATACTAGTATTTCTTCAGGTCTGTCTTCTATAACCACGATGAAAAGAAAAGCTGGGCGAAAACATTTGAGACTGCAGATTGCAGAACTGGAACACTCTATTTGAAGACAGTGGCTGCTGAGTGCTGAGCTGCATCAAATCTATCAGCATCATGTAACTTCGATCAGGAACAGACTCCATTTCATTTCTGACAACTAGCACCTGTTTTCCCTAGACTTACCAAGTATTACGTAACTGCATTAGTATTAGGTTAAATTAAAGGCCCTACATCGAACAAGTCTAACAATTAAAACTTAAATGCAAGAGTGCACAATTTATCACTAAATATCTTCCTCTTTTAATTCTAATCAACACACGGTTTCGTCTTTGTTTCACCCAATCGTGCTGATAATCAGTAATCATGCACTCTGCACTCTAACTTCGAGATGTTTCAAAAGGGCTCCCGACGAGTTGAATTAGATCAATATTTTCTTTTGATACATAGATACTGATTGGGAGCTTCATCATACTATTCTTGTCACATGGTAACGATTAACGATTAGTTGATCAGCTTCCAGCATCGACAGGCCGAAATCCATAAATATAATCAGTTGTAATTTAATATTTATCATCGTCCGGATCATCATAATATTTTAATTTAAAGTTACAATTGAACGGTGTTAAGAAAGATAATTTAAGAGAAATGTTTTGAAAGTGCCTGATTTCGAGTATAAGATCTGTACTGATACATTAATTTTCAGATTGTTATTATAGTTTATTTGTATTTTTTATATTATCTTATCCGCACAAGTTCGGAAGCCATCTGAACGCTATTGCCAGACACAGGCATATATTTATTTTGGGGTATCATGCTCTCAGAAATTTCAACTCAGTCCGATATTATAGTTATACTAACCTGCATTGCATAAGGTTAATTGTCTCGCAGTCTAGTGCATAAACCTTTTATTTTGTATAAACCCTTTATTTTGATTGGGAAAACTTTAGTTTAATGTGGTTACCGTCTCTAAAGTTGGCATGATAGTTAATAAACTCTTATCTATTATGTCACTGAAGATGACGCCTTGCAACATGTTTGACGATAGCCTGTAGATTGATAGTTTGATCTAAGTATTTACAACAATTCATCTAGTTTGATTGATTCAAAGGGAAACAAATTCCTCTCTTATCTATTATGACTATATTTAAATTCAATCCTGTAAAGTGATACTCCTTTTTTAGTAATTTAAACATGTGTTTTCTCCTTCTGATTTTTAAACTATTACCGGTCACGCTGAATAATAATGACATCAGTGAATTTAAAGCTATCGTTAACATCACTCAGAAAATGCGCGTCTTTAGCGCGTGTCTTGTTGTTATGCATCAATCCTTCGGTAGATCGGCGAGATGCACCACTGTGCCTCACCGAGCTGCGAAGGATTGACATCGTGAATCAAGGTTGCGGAATGACATTGAAAAGGCACAGGCTGAGCGCCGCCCAGTAACACAAACATTTCGCTTCGAAAAGAAAGTTTTTCGTGTTACTTCGAAAAAATTTAGAGAAGCATCATCCGTCGACGTACCGGCGAGTTCAATTTCCAATCCTTTCTTTAACGGGTGATAGTATCACTGATACTTGTAGTCGTAAAATATTTGCTTCAAATATTAATCAGGACCGTCGACGAGTCCAACTCGGCGCGCGTCTTGGTAGGTTATAAACTTACAAGTCACACGTCGCGATCCTCATTTGTAATTCATTTCGCCCCCGCTATACCGTGGCGAAAGCCACGATACGACCGCGCAGCCCACAGGCACAACGAAGGGCTGAGGGTAATCAATTTACCGGATGGTGTAGGGAAATTGGTAAAAACACGACTTCAATCTTACATTAATTGTATAAAATTCTAATTTCAGGTAAACAAGCAAAGTTTGTTTTCAATTATTACATATAACTTTTAGTTGACGGATGTAACTCGTTTGGATTTTTCGATGCGAAGTTTACTGGGCCGCGCTCAGCCTCAAGCCTGTCATTCCGCCGAATTTATATGATTATGAACATATAATACAAAAATTAAGTGCAAGTAAGTAAGTAAATATTTCATGCTAGGCATGTAGCACCCATTACGGTATGGGTAACCATTAATATAACCATCCATTGAGTCTTTGCTTTTTCACTTTGCATAGCAGCTCAGCGAGGTCCGCAGGGCACAGCCCACAGGGGTGCTGGGTGCATTTTGCCTATATCTAACGACAAACAAGGTGGCCTTACAACGAGAAGCATTATTAGATCGATGCGCGGCAAGCTTGCTAGTTGACCATTGTTAATGATTGGCCCGGCGCGCGCTACTTCGTAGCACTTGCCACTAACATTTCGAGAAGAAAGCGGCGCGCGCTACTTCGAAGAAATTTAGACGAGTAACATCCGTCAAGCTTGCTAGTTGCTACGAAGTATCCCGAAACGGGTTAGTCCATTATCATTTCTAACAATAAACACATTGTTGGCACTTGGCAGTTGGCCTGATACACGAATAATTGCATTTCGATCTTCGCGCACGAAACCAGGACACAGGAGCTTGCCTGTCATGCGTCGGCGTACACGCTTCAATATGCAATTCTTGGTAGCTGTCATGCTACGCGCAGCAGGCAGCTTCATTCCTCCATAGCTCCATTCTCCAATGAGTATGTTTATAAATATTATAGCTTGTAGCACGATGCGTTACTGTGCCGCGCCGCGCATTCAATTATTGATTATTCTTCTTGCAACGCTAATTCGGTGAAATGTGCTACTGTGCCTTGCCGAGCTGCGATGAATTGACATCGTCAGTTAACATTATAGCCTGTGCAGCAACAGTACACGCGCTTTAACCTAACCATGTGCTTTCGCGCCACTGCAGCGTGCAGGCGCGCTCGTTTCACACGGGAGGTGATCGGCGGAGAGGAGTTTAAAGATAAAATAGAGATAAGGATAAAATACATATATAAATAATTCAAGATAGCGATTAGAATATTAAATAGAGATTTTACAGCAATTTTACAAAAATGACACACATGGGCCACATAATGATTTACATGATAAACCTGCTAGCGCATGTGTATCAAAAAAATTTTTGACACACATACGCTACTTAGGAAGCGCATGTGTATCATTATTTTTTTTGACACACATGCGCTTCCATAGTAGAGGCTCTTACGGGCAAAAAGACGTGTATTCTGCTACGAGTTTAGTATAGAGGCCTAACCGCTAATTAGACACAATAGTATGATGTCTAAGGATCGATAATATGTTAAGAAGTATAAATTTGGCCTTATTAGTCACGTGCTATACCAATGCGCGTTTTAAACTTTGACAGTCTATTTCTCTGAGGCAAATAGAGTAATTATATTCATATTTTGTCAGCAATAAGATCACATTATTTTCTATTTGGTGTGAAAATATGAGCTAGAACGGACATAATCTCGCTGAGTTATAGCTGTTTGAAATTTATGATGAACGCGCGGGTGCTAATTGATAACACCTAAATGCTTTTGCACGTAGTGCGCGTCGAAAATTTGGCAAAGACGCTTGCGGAGTGACAATATTCAAACTTCGATAAAGTATATGAAGTGGGTACTTCTCGGAAAGGAAAAATTTAGGCAAACCACGATTATCAAAAAACATGGTTTTTTGGCTTATTTTTGGCCCAAAAATCGGTTTTTTGCGATTTTAACCACGCTAACTCAGTCCAATCATTTAGAAACCACTTTTAATCGATTCTACGGTCAAAAATACGTCTAGTAAGGTGTATCTGGGGTCCCTAGCGTATCGTGCAGACAATCAACAATGCCCGTAAGAGCCTCTACTACAGATCGCGCGTCGCTAATTTGCGAACAATTAACAGAGCAACGCGAACGATGCGGAGTAAGAATGATAGTTTTGAGTTTGCGCGTCGAACGCGAAGTCGGAAGTTCTCCAAATCACAGGTAGCCATGAGTGTACGCATTTGTTTCACAAGGTCGCGCGCTACTCCTATGCAAGCGAGTTGTCATACCACATACGTTGTATGACCCGCCGCGCACAAAGTGCGCGGCTCCCCCTGTATCGTCAGGACGATACGTGAAACGACCGTGGGGGTCGCAACGTGATACAAGGCAGGACATTTCACTGAGAAAAACTTTAAAAAGGTCAGGTGAGAGTGGGTGACCTTGTTTTGTACCTTTATTAACGGGTGATACTCGTAAAATATATGTTCCATACTTATTGACCGTCGACGAGCCCAACTCGGCGTGCGTCCTGGTAGGTTATAAACCTACAATTGATTTCCAAATTACCTAGCTTGCTAGTTTATTGCTCGCTTTTCTCACAGAAGAGTGCAAGAACCCAAAAATCCTTTGACATACGTTGAATGACCCGCCACGCACGAGTGCGCGGCTTCCCTGTACCGTAAAAACTCTACAGGGGTAGAGTAGATCGCTCCTACTAAATCGCTCGCCCAAATTTTAAGAAAATGCCTTGTGAAAAGGCCTTAATTGACGATGTCAATTCATGGCAGCTCGGCGCGGCACAGTAGCGCATCTCGCCGATCTAGCCAGTAACGCATCGCGCTACAAGAAAAGGCCCTTTGGTTGTGAAATTGATCTACAATGGCGTATTTATTTGGACGCTGATTCCGAACCACCCCTCATGACGTAGGGTAAAAATGTTTCCCTGGAGAGATATATGGGCAAAAGACCGTTAGGGTTGGGATTTGGGTTTTGTAAAACCGTTTTGTACGGCTGCAAAACCATAAAAACTTAACGGGTGATACTCGTAAAATATCTGTTCCATATATTGGACCGTCCAACTCGGCGCGCGTCCTGGTAGGTTGTAAACCTACAAATAAAAACCAAAGTCACATGAAATTTTTGGGCGAGCGAATTAGTAAGAGCCAGAGTAGGTAGGTTTCACTATAGTGAAACGACAATGGGGGTCACGATGTGATACAAAAAATCTTTACTGGCTGACGAAAGTGGTCCAGGTTATCAATTTTTTAATGATTTTGCAACACTATTGCGTGTATTTGATGGTAGCGTGGTTAAATTTTTTTGTGCGTTTAAAACTGCAACCGTACTTGTAACTTTGGTTTGTGATGAGATGTGGAGCACACATCGCTGAATAGAATAGCAATTGCTTTATATAGGTTTTCCCTCTTGAGGACACACTGCCAGTAGTTTAAATTTTGTGTTGAGTGCTACGGTATATCGTTAAATTTTTGGATTCGTTGGTATATTCTATGGGTATTTATGTTAACGGGTGATACTCGTAAAATATCTGTTCCATATACAGGACCGTCGACGAGTCCAACTCGGCGCGCGTCCTGGTAGGTTGTAAACCTACAAGTATTTATGTTTATCTAATTTTATGTAATACTTCAATATTATAGTAAACATTAACTAAAGCTTAAGTGTAATCATTTCACACAGCGGGGTCAGCAGGGCCCTTCGTTACATCACTGCTTAGGGAAGCAGAGAGACTTCTCAATTTAATTCAATAATTAGAATAGTATTCAGTTCCTATTTGTTGATAGCATAAAGGTTGAACACGCTTTTTATGAATCACTGATTTCAGAGGCAGAAATGAGTTTAGCTTTCGAATACTGTCTCAGACAGGAGCAGCCCCCCCCCCCCCCATCCAGACCAGAAGCAAGTTTTTTGTTGAAAAAACAACTGTAAACTTGTTTAAGTAAGACACGCAACATAATGAACTCGCACAGATCATTACAAATGGGGAGGCACCATCTCAGGGGGCGCTAAATCGTCGTTTGAATGTGGGACAATTTTGAAAAACTTAACTGAGGTACTAGCAAAACTGCTCATTTTGCTCTAGAAGCACACTTTTTTAGAGATTTTACCGGGTATCTTCTAAAATCACCTAATTTGTTAAATTTTAGGGAGGGGGCGCAACAGGGGGGCAACAGGCAACATTACACCACTGGGTGTGTCTCAAACCCACCTTGCATTGGATAGGTCGAAAACGGGCACATATTTTGCATTTATCTTGGTATGAATTAATACAAATGCAGTGGCGTAACGATGGGCCCCGCTGACCCTGCCGTGTGGGCCGCGGGGGGGGGGGGGGGGGGGGGGGGGGGGGGGGGCGCCGTCTTAGGGGGGGCGCCAAATCATCGTTTGAATGTGGGACAATTTCGAAAACTTAACTAAAGTACTAGCAAAACTGTGCGTTTTGCTTTAGATACACATTTTTTAGAGATTTTACCGGCGTATCCTCTAAAATCACCTAATTTGTTCAATTTTAGGGAGGGGCACCAAAAGGGGAGGGGGCGCCAGCAGGGGGGCGCTTTTTCGGCGGGGGGCGCCAACAGGCAACGTTACGCCACTGATTTTACAGGTGCCGAATGCTGACCCCGCACTACTGCGCAACGAGAGGGCTCTCGTTAGATCGAGCAAGGTATGCATCAATCATGCAAGATTCCATGGATGAAATATCGATGTATGCAGTGTTATTTCAAGAGAGCTGTAGGTTTAGTTACTTGTCGATTGTGAAAAATAAGGCTCATATTATTTTGCTACTTGCTAGACCAAAAATTATCGTTTTTTAACGATTTTGCAGATGAACAAAACAGTCTTACCTAAATTCCAACGCCAATCCTAACCCTAACTATGATCCCAAAGCTAACCATAACCTTAACTATAACTCTGACCCTAACCCATGCCATTAAAAAAAACAAAATATCCTCAGATCGGTTTTAAATAACAAGCCAAGGCACATTTAAAACGTAGGCATAAAAAGGCAAATAAAACTCTCACTTAGAAATAACTGATCATTAACCAATTAAAGTAAAATAATTGTTTGGAAGTAGTCACGGACACACCCTAAAAGATCACTCCTGTATTCCTCTGAGTCTCACTGTGATAAGTTTTGTCAAATTATGAAGCTAAGTTGTCAAGGAATTTGTCTAATCCGTGGTTAACTCCTAAATTGATTTAGTCCATGAGTTGTCTAGTTAAGCTCCATTGTGATAAACTATATGAAATGCATTCCCGTTATGTGAATTAAAATAAGTTGAGGAGAGAACTTCTAAGAGTTGAATTGTAATCCATTTTATACTCCGAGCAATCGATGATAAAGCAATCTAGCCGAGACAGGAGATTGGTAAGAATACAACATCACTGCTTACTTTTGTTTGAGATTCATTGTCACATTATCTACAGCTGTACTGAGTGGGTACTGAGTGTGTAGGTCTAGTTCGTGGAATATCTAGTAATTTCAAAATCATTTCACTTGTTCTGTACTATTGCGAATTTTGCTTTGCAAAGAACGTTTGACGGTATATTCTTTTGATCAGCAATGCGCTGGCTCTCTGAATACGTATTAGAAATCATCATGTTTTCAAATCATGTGACTGTAACCACATACCAGATTTACCTAAATTAGTATTACTACATACTTTAGTCAGCTAATCAGATTATGATGATTTGATGACTCTATTACCGATTTGTGTTTATGATCTTTGTATATTTAGTACAATATTGTTTAAATGTCAGTCTAAAAATAACATCACTAAAGTCTGCATCAGGCTTCTAGCATGATTAGATTGGTTAATATCCTGTTTATCCCATTATGCGCCATCATTAATTATCGATGCTTATTTCTTAATTAGTGATTATAAGATTATAGATAAGTATTCTCTGCAATTCATGTTTAGAAATGATTAAGTGATGTAATATTTCAGTAAATTCTCATAATTTGCTCTCCCCTTAAAGTGTAAGCTGTTGCTTGAACCACAAAATGATACAAACTCCAATAAGAGTTCGGCTGGAGAGGGAGGGAGAGCCGCTCTGCTGTCTGCATCCAGGATGTCATTACGTCTACCCATCAGCAATAAGAGTGTAATGGTTCCCTCTGTAACTGTGTGTTAGCTGCTATATATAGTCCCTGGTTTTAGTTTGTTCAGCACTTTGCTAACTGTATGCAGGACTGGTTGGATCTGTGTCGTGTGGTGGATTTGTTTGTTCTGAAGAATCTGTTTGTTCTGAAGAATTTGTTTGTTCTGAAGAAGTGTTATTTTACAGTAACATGTACCAGCAGTGTGTCCATTTAACTAGGAGCAGTCTGTGTGTAACGACTGATAAGCGTTATCGTGGAGTAATCAGGAAATAATATTGATCAGGCTAGAGTCTGGTAAATACCCAGTTGGTAAACGAACAATTATAGCGCTATAAGTCATAACGCTATCCAAACCGATTTATAGCCAAGTTGGCGTAAATGCATACAGCTAGTGCTGTTAATCACCGATTGCTGACAGTTTTATATGAACAATGAACAATATGGTCATATGATGTATGTATGCTTATTGGATGATTTATGGATTAGTACCAATTACTCCGTCAACAGTCAACATTAACAAATTGGATCAATATCTGAATATCTCTTTGAAATAAAGCTGAGCAAGCTTTTATGAGAAACGCAAGTTTTCCTGCCTGACCAAGTTTTTGAGTTTTTGCTATATCTGCTTTACAATTATCTCAAATCGACTCTTTCACATAGATTGATGGTCAGAGATTCTAGATATCACCATGTCCTTCACAACTAAAGTTTTACTCTACGATACCCTACTGGACATGACAGAAAAAGAATTTATATCCGCAGCACATAATACAGATCCTGCTTTTATTTTATTGTGAGTATACCTCTGATTCTCTATTGTGTTGAAAATCTATCTATTTTGGTATTTAATCCTGTCACAATATTTCACTTAGCTATTACATTTTGATCAGTCACTACCATTGAAGATTTACAATCTAACATTTACCTGGATCCCTGATATTTATTCATCAAGCTGACAAATTTGTTTCGATAATTCATTGAAAGCTAATCAGTAAACAGTAACGACCCCCAGATATTCGTTACCTTGGAAAGATTTTATTGACGTAGCTACCTGTGTGAACTGTGCATCCAAAAGGTTTGTCCTTCTCAAAACACTAAATACTTATATTCACCACATTTACCACATATCTCAGTGGTCATTATACTATTCACATCATCAGATCTAATAGTCACGGAAATATTTGAGTCTGACATGTTCTCCTTTGTTGCGTATTGCATACCACCATCCTCCGATCCCAAGTCCACATCAAACAATAGTCTTAATGAAACCATTAATTTCAGTATAATAATGCCGTGCAAGTTCGGGATGTTTAACCTGGACAACAATGCAAGTGAGTCTCTTTTTCCAGTGTTGGGATCCAATGTTTCAATCGTGCTACAAAATGGCGTACTACAAAACTACCTGCAAAAGATATTTTGTAGTAGTGCTCAATATATCCGGATATTGATGGCGGGGTGAATCAGATTTATTTGACACATGACTGTGATTCTGGGTTTTTGATTGGGTAACACTGGAAGGTGATTGGTTAATCTCCGTCACGTATCAAAAAAACATGATTCATTTCCCCATCAGAATCCAGCTTTATAGCTAGTAATCAATGTTAGTGCCCTCAAGATAGTGCCCAATGTTGGTACTTTACAATCTTTGGGGTGACTATACATATATATAATATCCATTATCCACAATACAGTGTCTATCCATAGAACATAACTTTCTACTTTCTGGATTCTTTACTTTTATCATTAATCTTATTATGCAAAAACATTTTTTTAAAACACCAAAATTACATAATTCTGTAAGAAGAGGCGCCCTTGTGTTAGATGTAATGAAGCTAACTCTTGATTACACAGCGCTCTTATCATCCACACAATGACTAACACGGTGTAAATCTTATATAAGATATGGCCCAAAGGAAGGGTGGCGGTTCACCAAAATCAGAGAGTTTTGATTTAAGGCTGGGGGTTCACCCTGAATTTTTTGTGAAACTTGGTTTCGAGATAGCAGTTGACCAACAAACTAGGACCGGTGACCGAACTTTTGAGGGGGTCCCGGACCCCAACCGCCAAACGGTGCCCGCGGGGCAGCCACGCCCATATTTGGTCCAAATTAGGCCCAATTTAGCCAAATACCCTGAACATGCCCAAAACCCAGATTTTAGGTGCTCTACTTGTAGCTAGTGGTCCCCTGAACTCGTATATGAATTTTCATCAAGATTGGACAAAAAATGACTGAGTTATGAGCCAAAAACCATATGACCATATTTGGGCATACGCACCAAATTTGATCGATTTTGGCCCATAAATTGGTCAAATATCAATATTTTTGAATGAAACCAACTTTATATGGAAGATAAGCCTATACTACAGATTCTCTATGATTATCAGCTCAATATCTACCTAACTGTGGATTCTGTGTTCAATTAATTGCAAAAAATGAACAAAATCGCCCATATCTCAGTTCGCGATATTTGCGAAACTGATTTCGTTCAAAACAATAGAACTCAATAGGGTTTCAATATTTTTACATGAAATTTTCAGAATCAACGTAGAATCGCATTTCGACCTTAAGTTTTAATATGGAATTTTGAGTTAGGCCTTTAAAAAAATTTGGCGGCCAAATTCTGAAAAATGCCCGGCAAATTTGTTCATTTTTTGCAACTATTTGAACACAGAATCCACAGTTAGGTAGATATTGAGCTGATAATCATAGAGAATCTGTAGTATAGGCTTATCTTCCATATAAAGTTGGTTTCATTCAAAAATATTGATATTTGACCAATTTATGGGCCAAAATCGATCAAATTTGGTGCCCAAATATGGTCATATGGTTTTTGGCTCATAACTCAGTCATTTTTTGTCCAATCTTGATGAAAATTCATATACGAGTTCAGGGGACCACTAGCTACAAGTAGAGCACCTAAAATCTGGGTTTTGGGCATGTTCAGGGTATTTGGCTAAATTGGGCCTAATTTGGATCAAATATGGGCGTGGCTGCCCCGCAGGCACCGTTTGGCGGTTGGGGTCCGGGACCCCCTCAAAAGTTCGGTCACCGGTCCTAGTTTGTTGGTCAACTGCTATCTCGAAACTAAGTTTCACAAAAAAATCAGGGTGAACCCCCCCCCCTTAACCCGAATTGTGGCGACATCTGGTCTTTATATCAAGGTATTTTGCTTGCTTTAAATACATGATATACATGTAGATTGTAGGCTACAGAATGGTGCGAATAGACATGGCAATTAGGCAATATGTAAATCTAAAGTCGGTCTCGAATTCAGAAGATGAAATAGCGTTTGACTTTCAGATCTTTGCATTCTCCATAATTATGAAGTTTGAAGTAAGAAAGGCCATTTTCAAACAAAACAGTTTTTCTCCCGTAGCCGGTTAACTCTATAAATATTTACATAGCGATGATGGTTGACCACAGCGTCAAATAGGTTTTATAAGAAATAGAAAATCATCATATCTGACATTTCTGTTGGAAAAGGTATAATTTGTAGAGATGATAACATTACTTAACACGTTTGAAACAAGTACGATGTAATCGTGTTCTTCAGCTATGCTGATACAGTCTGAACGATATTAATTGTTGATTGCTCTTAATTGTATTGAAGGTGGTGTAGATATATCGAATAATTGAGCCCAATTACCTGATATCATCTGATGATAGCATTAATCTTTATTGAGAATTGTACCCACCTATTATATACGCTTATTAGGAATTATAAATAGTACAATTGTAGCGCTACCACCATGGTATTTAGGTATTATTAGTAGGGTAAAGCACATAATTTTGTCATTTTTTGGCAATTTTCCGACTGCCTGATATAAACCATGGGTTTTAACCTCGTCTGAAATTCCGATTTAGATGAAACCTCCACCATGTTATAGTAGACAGTCTAGGCAAGTTCTATCACAAAAATGATCGAAATTGCTGGGGTTGAAGATGTTCAAAAAAATTATTTTGAAAAAATGACAAAATTAGGTGACTTTACTTAATTTTGTCACCCCGAACCTAATTTTGTCACTTGAAGATTGTGCAAAAAGTAACCGTTTCTCGGTATTTTAGACTACCTGGATGCATCATTCGAGCGCTTTTTTACCAACATTGACCTCAAAAATCCCAAAGATATGATGTTTTCATAGTTTTGTAGCTTGATGAAAAGATGACACTTTTTGGGTATATAATCTTAGAAAATAGCCCCCAAATGCCCCTGAAACCACTGGTATCTTGAAAAACAATTGGTTCTAGGTCTAGGTTGAAATTTTCATGTCTGTAGATAGATCACTTGCTTAGTAATTTCATCAATTATTTTTTTAGTCATTTTAGATTGAAAAAATCAGATTATCCACCTCGGCGAAAATATGCTATTATAAGTGTTATGCTATTATAAGTGCCTTATACATATCCTATGGGCAAAAAAACTTCAGAATAGTTGTATAAGGCCATTTTCAACACAATCTGTGATTTACAAGAAATTTGAGAAAGGTCGATTTTTTTGACAAAATTAGGTACTTTTGGCAAAATCGAACCTAATTTTGTCACCCTCTGTAACTTAAACAATAATTGCGCTAGAGACTTGAAAATTTGTACGTATACTTCTGCTGTAGAAGATATTTGAAATATGCAATGGCATGAAGCTAGCTCAATTACTATTTTGAAATAGCAATAAATCAAAATTTTGAAAATTCCTTAAGAAAACCTTAAGGATCTTATTTATTTTTCGGGTTAACAGTTTCGCCTTCATTTTTGACACAGATGCAAAAGAGCTAAAAACTTAAACTTTGTAGGAGCAGTTTCAGCAAAGTCTAAGCTTTCTTTTTATACACAAACCTTTTCTTTCAAGCTGAAATTCCGAGCCGAGGCAGTTTTTCAGAGCAAAATGACAAAATTAGGTACCCTGACAAAATTACGTGCCTTACCCTAACAGATCTCATTTCCCGATCAGATATTTAATCGCGCGAGTGTTAAGCGACGGCACAATTGCTGCACATCTTGCCTTGACGGGTAGTTGCGCTTATTTTGGCCAGGGCTGTAATTTGTGCTTACAGCTATTATAGCTATTATACAGCTATTATACAGCTATTATACAGCTATTATACTTAGTCACAGAGGTTAATTAAACTTATTTGGTAAAAGTCAAGAAATTGTGAATTTGGATTAATTACGCATGTTAAGAATAAAACCATGACGTGAACAATACACTCTCTGCAACTTGGCCAAATATTTAAATCTTGTCAGTAATTACCCCACCAACACTGACTATTCATTCATCCGACCAGACTGTTAAAGTATAATAATGGGACAGAATCACAGCATTACCAGGGCATTACCAGCTGGTTTCAGGTGTGGGGCCTTTTACTCATTAAGAGCATTAATTCATAGCAATATTAATGCCGCAGCTCATACCCAAAGAAATTATTCTTGAGAGACGATGATCAAGATCATTCCAGTTTTGCTTGATCCAGTATAAGGGTGGTGGTATCTGGTGGTTATAGAAAGTTCCGGAATTAAGTCGGCTCAGATATTCGTCTCACTGTACACAGCTCAGTACTGTACAGTTTAGCAAATTATCCACTGTAGTAGACTCACGCTAAACTGAAGCTAATTAGATAAGTTACCAAATCTTGGGCTGAACTGTCTGCTTGGATCTAGGTATGGCAGAAATGTAAATGTCCGTGTGTACGTCAGTATGTATTTGATCCAGTGTGACTAGGCAGGTTGCACGGAAAGAGCCTAATTACAGCTCCAGAGCAGGTATATCTGTCCTCATTGTGAGAGAGAGAGAGAGAGAGAGAGAGAGAGAGAGAGAGAGAGAGAGAGAGAGAGAGAGAGAGAGAGAGAGAGAGAGAGAGAGAGAGAGAGAGAGAGAGAGAGAGAGAGAGAGAGAGAGAGAGAGTGCCGAGGTCTCCACAAAATGGTCTAATTACACCCCAGTCACGTGACTTATTAAAGGATTACTAAACAACACACCCCGCTAAGGACTCCGTGAATATATACATCTTCTTTATACTGATGAGTAGTGTAACCACCTGATCTACCTAAACACTGGGTAAACACTGGGTAAATACTGGATCCAACCTTTATCTCTCTCCCCCGCGGTGTAAGATCTATCTACTCCTCCCTCCTGCCAGCAGCCAGTCCCCAATAACGTCACAGCGGTCATAGAAGTCTTTCTTTCTTCGGGACCTCTTATCTGCATCATCCTACTGATATAAACATACCGATTGTAGTAACATTTGTCAGCGTTGTAGAGAGAGCCAGAAAACAATACGAAATGTATTTGGTGATTTCAAAAGAATTGGTTGCTTTTCAGTTTCAACTGAAAGAGGTGTGAGACACAGCATTTGCTTAGGTACAAATTATTTAGTACAGAATGAGAAATCAAGCATGTGGCAGTTTACTCTAGTTTGTAGCAGGGGCTTTGAACTACTGGTATAATGTATTCCTCTCAATGGTAGAAAGTTTCATTAAAGTAATAGAAATTACATCACCTTGAAGGTTCAATATTTAATTTTAAACTCATTAAATTTCCATCGGAAACCATCAATGCTATTATAGTATTATGGTAAAAGGACGCTCCAGTAAAATGGTCAAGTGGTTAGCTCTTTGAATGATGATACTTGCAAGAATCTAATGGATAAACTCTAAATAATCTTCATCACACAGGTCTCTCACTGCAGATAGCAATTAGCAGCCATCTTACTCTGCACTGAGAGGACTGCTCGCTGCTGCTCAGGCCTGTCATGGTCTAGTAGATTAAAGAGTGTACATGTAATATGTACGCTCACTTGTGTACTATCAATGCAGCTTGTCCCATAACTTGACAGTTGTACACATGTGCCCCCAACTCATTACAAATCTTTCCATCCACTTTTGACAGGCTCCAAGAGCAGTGCCACGTGACAGGACATGTGACAGGATCCCGTTCATACCTGGGAACAAGAAGCATAACTACCTTATCACATGTTATCTTCCACTATTTCCTGGTTGCTTATCATACAATATTCAGTATTAGAACTTCTAGCGGAAATATATAATTTCTATGATCCTACATCAGCTTTATGATGGTATAGCCTGGGAACGCAATAATACATCGTAGAGTGTACATAATCATGGAGGTCTCTACCATCTATATTTTTATAATGATACAGTACCGTAATAGCCAAATATCTCTCTAGGTAGAGAGATCTTGGCGGTAGATCTTTTCTAATCGATTGTATAGTAGTCGACTTAGGTGACCGAAGAAGACATACCGTTCTTTACCGTGGTAGCGAAAAGCTTGCCGCCTAAAGCTCACAATTACAATAGCATTATAGTAGGTGCTCCAAATTTAGAGGTCACTCTTCACACAATCACCTTAAAGGATGCGATAAGGTTAACTTTAACAAACTTAACTAACTTTAAATTCGGTAGTTCAGTCCCCTGGACGTTTGTCGGGCATGATATTAATCACATCTACAACATAATCTCCATCCGTACGGTACTCATTTGCCACGAAACTCGCTGTGTACCATTTCTTCGGTTCTAACCAAATAAATAATTGGTGGGCATAAAACATAGTCAAACAAAAAACGTGCTGCTGATTTTTTACCCTTGACGTTTGACTAGACTTCCAGGAAACTGATTGCTTTTTGTCCGACAGGGAAACCTCCCACCGAGCTCAAATTCCTTTGCCTTTTCTAATTTAACGCTCCGTTTAGAACAACATGCTCCCTATAATAAATGTTGGTGTCTGAGTATTTTTATCATTATCGGGAGAGCATTTTTACTGAGGGCAACCAAATAAAATCCAGACTTTCATCTTTTTAGGCCTGGTCAGACTTGTGGTCAGGTCTTGATAAGTGTGATGTTGGAGAAATTGTTGAACCTTATTTGGGAGGAGGTAATTCAAATCATATGTTGTATAATGTATATAAATTCTTTGACAGACAGGACAGCGAGATACTTCGTCATCATAGTTGTTGAGTGCTCATGGATCTACCTCAATAATGTATATATACGGATATATACAATATAATGTATATATATACGGATATCCAAGTAATTACTGCTTACTGGTACTATTCGTATGATAGTAAAAGTTTGAGATTCAAATTATATCATCGATGCGTAAAACTAACGAGGTAATCATGTATTGCAAGGTTTTAAACGTGAAAACAGAAGATCTGATACGCTTAATGACGATCCATCACTAACACAGTCTCTCGGAACGTTAAGAAAAACTGAAACTTTAATTCTAAGTTTGTACTTAACAGTAACGATTTGACTCAGGGGTGAAGTGCAAGACCAACAGACTACATCACTGAATGTTGACATTGGTTTTACCACCGAAATTCCTCGACTCTCAGAGTATGAGGAAATCGACAACGATACCAACACCATACAATGCTACACAGACGGCTCCAAAATGAATGAATAAGTTGGAGCAGGAGTGTACATTGTGGATAACGACACCCCTCCACGTGAAGAGTCCTACCACCTACCACCTGGGAACCAACTCAACCGTCTTCCAGGCCCAGACTTTTGCCGTAGGTACAGCGGGAATCTGAAACCAAAACAAGAAGAATCATCATAAACTGTGATAGCCATGCGACAATAATGGCAATGAGAAATACCAAAGTCAAATCTAAAAGCACCAGCACAGCAATAAGTGAGCTTAACCAACTATAAATGGACAATCAAGTCCTAATACGATGGATACCAGCTTACAAAGGCTATGATGGTAATGAAATGGCAGACTCTCTCGCCAAACAAGGCTCTGATAACTTGGACTCCGCCCTAGTGCTTCTACCAATACCAAAAGTATTATGGAAGGGAGGCGGGAGCGCTGCGGAATATAAATCATCGGAAAATGAGGGAAAGATGGAGAACGTTGCCAACACTCATTTCAAACGAGTATGGAGACACAAGTCCGCCAGATCAATTCCGAAACTTGGTAAAGAGAGCACAAGAACAGCGACACAATTCCTTACTGGAAACTGTGAACTAAACTACCATATTAATAAGTCAAGCCGACAACTGACTCAAGCCGACAACTTGATTCCTTCTACCTTAGTGTGACAAACATAGTGGACAAGTTCTCACTACCCCAAGGATCATCGGCTTCATACAAGCGAAAAAAAAACGATTCACTAAATGTGGAAAAAACAAAGTTCAACTTTTTTTCCAGTAATAAATATCTTACAGTGGTCATGCTCTATCTTAAAGTGATAATGACCACAGTCCCTTACGAAGAAGAAACCCCCCCCCCCCCCCCGCTTCCTACACCGCTGATTTGACTACAAGTTGGATCTGTCTTATAATAAAATTTACTTTTTACTTTTTGAACTCTACTCCACAGCATGTGTGCATAATTCATACCCTCTGCGAAATGGTATACCAAATGTATGCGTCTTCTGTTTATAAACGGTTGAGGCCAATAGACAGATTATTTTAAGCCTCTGATACAAATTACAATAGCGCTTACAATTCGTTACCCCGTCTAGATTTGGTTATCACTCACTGATCCAAAAGAATATTGTTTTTGAAAAGATTGCAACATCTGCTGTTAGATATTTACTACTACCCCTCAATTCTCAAACACGTATAAGTGTGTATGTAGTAGTCCTCCAATATCATCTGTATAATGAACTAACCTTCATTATACAGATGATTTGTAGTAGGTGACTATTTGTAGTAGGCGACAAATTGACTAAATGGGAAGAATCAAGAAACTATCTAGCATTGTAATGTTTTGTGTACATTCCAACCATTATCGAGTCATAAGTTAACTACTGTAATGGTAATGCTTTTGGATGTATAATCTTGAATGGAGTGAATTCAGTAATATTCATGTAGCAGATTCTTAGTAGGTATATAATCGACATACAAATAGACAACACGAGAGGGATTACGTTATGAGGAAACCCCAATTTTTATTCAAAATATGCGAACTATTCATGTGTAACATAAACTTAATTGAAATAAATATTAAATACCTGTGATAATATAAATCCAAGTATGTACGGATTCATGGATGAAGATTGAAGACTGTCTTGTTAAAATATATTTCCCTTGAATGTAAATAAACCATTAGAAAGCCTAGATTTCGGTCATTTTAGACACCCTCTGAAAGACATTTTACACTTATTTATTGTGTAGAAATTTCCAAAACGAAAACCCGTCACATTATCTCTAGGCTGGCATACGTAATTTGTGAACGATCTCCTATGACGTTACTGTTTGATTACTGATTCATAGCAGATAGCCGTCATTAGCATTTGATAGTTCCATATTCAATCGTATTTAGTAATCGATCAATCTATTCAATGGAATTGTCATGAGTAGTTTCAGGCCTTTTAAAGCATAAATAACGTGGGAATTTCATATATTTGCTCTTGGCTATACTCTTAGATATATATAGTCTTAATGAATTATAAATGGTCTTCGGAACTTTTTTGTAGCCTCATGATGAAATTAGATAAGCCGTGCATTTTACATGATTTGTGAAGAATTTTAAGCATTTGTGGAGTCATTTTTCAGTTTAAGTTTGAGAGTCTGGTTCGCTAAATTTATTAACTTATGGTTTCTTGTTGCGATGAGCTTTCGCAAAACAATGGATAATTCAGACTGGACTGTTTTGCAACGCGCGCTATTAAATTTTTGTAGCAATTATGCACTATATCATTCAGCGTAACAAAATTGCGCGCAGCACGCTGACGCATAATGTACGTCTTGGTGGTTCCTCTGGCCACGCCAGTTGTACATATTCTATAAAATTGATGGAAATTGGAATCCACCCTAAAATACATCAATAGATACTTGTGACGCCAAATAATTTAGGTCTCCTTTAAAATGATTAATTAACTGACTGATAAATGTTTCAGAGATACAGAAACGTTACAACATTACCCAGAAAAACAGAATAATGCTGTGAGTATAACTACGTTTCGAGTTTAATCAGTGTTTCACACTCCAGACCAATCTCCCTCATGAATCTATTTTTCAAACCAATTTTCTGATCTACTTTATAGCCATTTTAACACAGCTGTAGTATAATTACATAATCACTTACTTATAACTAAATAATTCATTTTATAATATTTTTCTCAGGTTTAAAAACAACAGAATGTACTTTCTCCCAATGCAAGATTTATCAATATCGGCTTTTGAGAGGTTCCTGACAGTCGGTAGCAAAGAGGCAGTGTCGATGTCTCTGCCAACCAGATATAACATGTAAGTAAATAAAAATCATATCACCAATTAATTAGTATGTTATTAAGTATGTCACCCTATAAAATTAACAATACCATAGTTCATTACAGCTAATCAACAATTATTTACTATTGATATTGTTAGATTGTGCTGTAAAATGAACAATTGTTTCATTAAATAATTGTTTTATTAAAAAACTGTGCCAAAAATTAATCAGTGGCTTTGTTCGACAGACGGAGCAATTGCAAGAACATATGCGCAGACCTGGTTGGGGTATGGTGCGACAAAGTTGGGACATTTGTAGTGGTCATGGCATTCGTTGGGATCATCTTGATGGCTTTGTTCATTTTACTGACCTCAAACAAAAGCAATGTCAGAGTCACAGCGGGCTAAAGATCAGAAGAATATCTACTGAAAATGGTATTATTTTTACTTTGAAAGTTCATTTACTGAAAACAGAGAGGAAAGCAATGAGCAGTGATATTTAACTCCGTTCAAAAGGCTTGGGGACGCCGTTTATACTTTCCAAAAACAAAGACAGATCAAAACTTGATAAGATATGGAAATATACAGGGTTTCCTTCAGAACATACAGTGATTATTTTCCCCCTTGAACATGTGAATGAATGGCTAAAACCAAATATTACGTTTGGTTTAAATACCTACTATGTATATATTGTAAATAGACTTCACAACAGATTATAGCTATTCTTGATTTATTTAATAAAGTTGTGTGTTTTATCTTGTTTGTTTTAACAATACGTTCGAATGAAATGTAAATTAACCGAGTTATTTATATTTATCTGTATTTCTGACTGAATTGGCAAACGAGACTGAGTTTTAACCGTAATTCAAGTGATTTTATTCAGTAACATTTTCTTTTAATCTGTATTGAATTGGAATAATAAGATTTAAGAATTACAAGTGTACATATATCTGATATTATAAATCTATCCAAATTTCAAAAATGTTTCGATTTATACAAATATATTATATTCTCTACTATAGCCTGTCATATGTAACTTGAATAACTTTTGCAAATAAAATAATCAAACTCTGCCATCATGCTAGCACAGGATTAATTCATCAATACCTCAATACCTAACATAAAAACAAATAACAGTGAACACTAAATAAAGTCTAAATCATCAGTCACCAACTATTTTCCGATGTTCATAACTTTATTACAGTTCAAATTAAAATCATTTAGATCTCTCCTAAGCATGACCCCAAACTCTCTATCAAGAGCAGTGATATAGTCCAAATAGTTGGCCAGGATGAAACCCTGAACTGGTTCCTCCAGCACATCGTATAGTAACGTGTGTTGTGTTGAGTGCTGTAAAAGACGGGTTTCGAGGTGCTTCAACAGGGCCATACAGTACAGCACTATGTAGGTCGGACCTTCTGATACTACCTGAACAGTAAATAATTCCGGAATACAGATCAGCTACGAGATAATTTACATTTATAGCTGGCTAGCCTTCAAATTTTCAAAATTGAAAACAGTGATTCAATAAACCATCTCAAACTTACGATGAGAACGTAGTTGCAGATTTCGTTCCACGGTAGAATATTGAGGAAGCAGCAGTTTATCCATCTTTTAACCACGTGAGAAGGTGACATTCCAGAAATTCGGAAAGCGCAGGCGACCTTCGGCAGAGCTTTTTGTAGGAGTCTCTCCATGCAGTGACATGCATTGTAGTAAATAACTGTCAATCCACTGGGAAAACAAGATGGTAAACTTTTTTGTGTCAAACATGAATCTCTTATGAAATTGAATTCATCTTATCACATGTATCACAGGTCTAATTATAGTTTGTCCTTGATGCATGGTAGTCAAAGTAGATTGAGATTATAAAAGTTCACATATTATCCTTATTTGGCAATGATACCCTCCAAAAATGGTAAAATTGTGAAAAGCGCGCGGCTCAAAGTTAAAGAATTATGTCGTACACAACGAGCGGTTATTTTATTTTGATCATCAAAATACTTTCGCGCCGTACACAAACTAAATTTTCGCATGTGACCGAATATTCAAAACATGAACAGTCACTAACTTAAATTATCTACACTTAACTCTTCACGTAAGTTTAAGGGTAGGCAGGAAATAAACCAATAACATTTCAAAATTTGTCTCATTTTACCAAATGCCCACTTCTTCAAAAGATGCGACCCGAAAAGAAAACGCTTCTCATGATAACATTTAAAGATAAAACATGTTATCAAACAAAAATGTCCAACTAACCTTGATGCTATCTCCTGTTTGACATGGGTAGAGTTGAGTAATCTGAGGCTCCACAGATAGCCGCTAGTGAGGGTGGTGGAGAAGGTGGTGAGAAAGGAACGGGCCCGAGCTATCTGACCACCAAACAGGAGGTAGACAACGCTCACAAACCAGTCAAACTTCACACCCTTCACTGAAATTATTAAAGTTTTATGAAAGCGTAGTATCATAGAAATCGAAATCATATTGGCTTTAATTGCGTTTCGACGGCAGGTCAACGAACTTCATTTCAAATGGAATTAATAGTATTCCTGAAAGTTCGTAGCACTATCGGAGCCGATGATAATCGATGAAAATAATCAATGACCATATACGATGACCGATATACATAGCATAGGCGAGACCAAATAGCATCATCGTCTTCTTCAGCACCTCTTTCACTCATCATAACGTGGCACTTAAACCAAGCTTGTAATAATTTTCCATTGTCATCTACACTGATTGATACACACTACATTCTGGGGGCTATTATAGCTGTACTCATAGGATTCCAATGTGGTGAGCATTGATTAATCGTAATCGTGTGAGCAATGTATATTTTCTTGGTGTCCATTGCTTGTTGTTTGTTTAACGAAAATTGCTGCTCCATTTTAACTAAATTAGCTGAAAAACTTCTAAATCGTGAGATCAAATAGGCTCAGTCTTGATGAACCTTTCCTTAAATCAGTGCTGAAAAATTACTTAACTACTATTTAGTCCCATTCTGTAAACCTTATAATATTGTACTTATAATGGCCCAAGGATATACGAGAGCGCTGAAAGGCAGGAAGACTGATCTGTATTTCTTATCTGATATTCCTATCTCTCATTCAGATAGTTGAGAGTAAACACGTTATATTAAGCTTTTAAAAATATTTCTCCCAATTTGAAGCGCTAAATTTCAAAATTAGAAGTTTAAATTCTGCTGCTTACACAAAATGCTAATGAAAAATACTCATTTTGGTAACTTAAACTGTTTGTTTCGTTGAAGATGAGAACATCATACTGGTGAGAGTAGAAATAGTATTTGTGACACTTTTCAATGAGCCAACTCAACAATCTCGCATTTAGTTGAACCATTCTGAGCTCATCAACATTTTACAAGTATTTGTTTACTCTTTTCTTTTCATATTGAACTTACCTAATTATGGTCAATATCATGATATGAATTTCGTCTCAATTGGTCATGACGGGAGATCTTTAAATTAATAGTCATGTTAGGTCCGACCTAACAAACAACTCTTAAATCCAAATCCGTTTGATTTCATGATTTTGATGATGAATTACGTTTATCTACGAAATGTAACACAGCAGTCACACATCTGTGAACCATTTTTTCATGCTGTGCTGCAGGATGTACATTTCATTGTGACGATTTATTCGAAGGTTAATTTCAAATCAAACTGTTCGCCATTCATATATAATATTTTGAACCTTAACTTATGTTTATTACTTAGGTACAAACGACTTTTAAAGCAAGATCCTTGTACAGTTTGGTTCTAGAATCTGGACACATCATGGTTACGGTACACAACGTCCAGTATAAAAAGATATTGAGTTTTGGTGGCCTCATTTGCGTGTTCTTCATAATGACTAGATACTATTTGACCCAAGATGAGATCATGCCGAATCCGCGTCTCAACGAAGTACAGTTAATTCAAGAAACCGCTCAGGAGGCAGACAAACTTCCCGCTTTAGAAGAGATATCAGGAGGGAAAACGAACTTTGAGAAGGACAATTTGAATGCGGAAATAAAAGATTTAAGTTTAGAGGTATCGAATGAGTTAAATTCAGAGCCCCCCTCGCAAGCCTGGGTCTTCAATCAGTTACGTAAGACTATGTCATGGTTGGATTGGAAGTACAGCCCTCCAAATGATTGGGAGAGGTGTAGTCTGAGGACATATTACTTCCACAAGATAAAAACCATTTTCACGGGTGTCCCTAAAACTGGCTGCTCGACTTGGCTCATGGCACTGTTACACGCGGAGGGAGAAATGATGGGTGAAACTGACCCTGAACGGGCGGATACACTGTCTCATGGCACTGTTTTTGCCCACCACAGGATCAAGGGAATGGTTGAGGCGCATGGAAAGTCCGTTGTTAATGGAGCGTACAGCTTTGCTGTGGTCAGAAATCCCTGGACCAGACTCGTGTCAGGATATCGGGATCTGTTTTATGGCGAGAAAAAGAACGAGCAATACCGAGCAATCGGGATTCATATTGTCCGGGAAATGAGAGGCATAACAGATCCGGAGCGTCTTCAAGATCTTCACCCGACATTTGCTGATTATGCGAAGTGGTTGGTAAAAAAGGGTTCCCACCACCACGACCGTTACTTTTATCCACAAGTTATTGACTTGTGCATACCACATGCCATGTATGATTTCATCATTCCTCTTGAACATTCTGAAGTTTTGAGTAAAAAAGTTTTGAGTGCTATAAATCTTCATGGCACCTATCTTTTGGGTTCTTATGATAAGTCGTCCGACCCTCGTTATCAGAAATCAACGCTGCATGCCAAGGAGTGGTTATCCTTACTGGACTCTGATGTAACAGATAGATTGTATAGTTTTTACAAAGCAGACTTCATGTTAATGAACTATAGCAATTTCACTCATCCAGATTTTCCTCTTCCTTTGCATGGCAATTAAAATTTGATTTACAATTTAATTTAAAGTTTAAAACTGTGCATGCGTTTGCTCGTTTGTTATTGAACTTATTACTCAAGAAAATTGTCTGAACAAAAATGTTGTTTTTGTTTTTATTCGAAGGCAATAGAACAGTTAATTTAGATGATCGAGATCAGCGGGAGATGCGATATTGAGTATCGAAATAAAATCTGCGGAAACTAGGAAAGCAAACACTCACAGTCCATTACAAAAACGCAATCTAGGGTTGGTGTCTGAAGTCTGGTACCATGCTGTGCTGATTTCGAGCCTTGCCGAAATTGAGTTAGAAAATGACTGGTCATTACTGCTGTTATTCAGCCGCAATCGCCTTAGATTTAAAAGATAGTTGGCTATCATGTGCACATGAAACAACTTAATACACTTATCTTAAGGTTCGGTTTTTAACGACCTTCAACTGGATTATCACCTCAACAAATAAAGTATACCTAGATTCTAGTTGCGAAATTAGTATTTAACTGCATGATACCCAGCCATGCTACAGAAGCCCGTACGGGTAGGTGACAGCACCATAAAATTCACGTAGGTAGTCGTTCCTACCCCATAGAATTGCAGTCCTCCAAGCGGGTTATCAGGGATCTTATCGGGACAATTTGACCACCGATTAGGTAACCGATAATGAAACTCAGTAACTATCGCTGATAATTTTATCGCTACCCGGTCTGGTGACCTAACTGGATGATTGCCTGGATGATTGATTGGTCTAACTGGACTAATGGCCTACCTAGGTATACTGAATGAAAAAAACGGACTGTATTACTCGTAACATGAGCTGACAGAGCATGCTATTCGACCCCTCAACCCAATGACATGTGTCGATGAGTAAGTGCCCATACCGAAGTGATCCATGAGGCTGTTGTTGGCAATAGTCGGACAAAATGTAAGTCGGCAAATGTTGTAAAAAAACTAGTCGCTCAATCTGCCTTTTTCCATGTGCCAACGTCTGCATATTTTTCATGTTGACGATCCTTCTCAATTTGTGAGAAGCCGGCCAACTCTGATTTCGAGAATATCGTTTATTTTGATTGATTTACAATTATTTTTACAACCAGTATGACCCAAGTAGGCTAGTTAACTTTTTTAAATCTTTTTAATTTGTTCTTTATTGTTTTGCAAATAATGTTATTTGATGTACAATGTACATGTATTTAATATGTTTGTAGCTTTGGTACCTTTTTTGTGTTGTTGACAAGAAATCTTTAAAACTTGCTCTGAAAGGTTTTGCCAATCGATTTGCGATGACAAAATTCTTTGGTTGTTCTAAAGAACCTCTAAGACAGGAAAAGCCTAGATATTTTACAGACGTTTTCTAACACATCTGTCTCTCTACTCAGGGACAATGAAGGAACATTTGTAAGGTTGGAGACTCCTGGCCCAACTCTTCAAAAGCTATGGGTAAATATCTAAAGATGGTTATCTGTATGAATTTCATAACATGCGTTGTTATTCTGTCCCAGTACAACTTCGCTCAACAATATGCATTTGGTGCCCCACCCATATCCACACCCATGGACGAAAGGTTTGGAAGCACTAGCGCAGTTCTATTTGATAGCCCTAACCTTGAACCTTCAGTTGATAGCCCTAACCTCAAACCTCCATCTCAAGAATGGATTCTAGAGCAGTTTGACAAGAGTATGTCTCTGTTAGACTGGAAATACTCACCCCCTAACCAGTGGGAAAAATGTACGAGTCGGACATATTACTTCCACAAGATAAATACCATCTTTACTGGTGTCCCTAAAACTGGTTGTTCAAATTGGCTCTTCGCTTTAGTCCGTGCAGAGGGCGAACTTACCAAAGAAGTACCTCTTGAAAAAATAGTTCCGTTTATTCACGGAAGAGCTACCAATATTCACAGGATCACCAACATCAGGGACCGATAGAAAGTTCAGTTTTTCGGAAAGCCTTCGGTTTTGCAGTTGTACGTAACCCGTGGACGAGAATGGTGTCGGGATTTCGTGACAAGTTGATTTTTGATTTGAAACTTTTACAAAATAGCAAATATACAAATGTACAGCAAATCGAACAAACATATAAAATGGGCCGAAATGTATAAATGCTATAAAGCGTGGGTCAGTGAAACAAGTACAGAGGACAACTTTCAAAACAGGAGTTTTATGGCCGCCCAAAGTCTCAATAACATCACCTCCACCTAGTAATAAAATTATGAAATATGAAAAGTGTGAAACAATCAAATAATAAAATATTCAATATATATAGTTGTCTTTTAAATACAGATAACGTCTGAAAATTCTTAAAATAATCATCACTCCTTCATATACTGATCAGTGTCCAAGAGACATGAATAACTCATGATGACTTCTTATCACGGCTACATACCTTCCCGTACCGGATGTAGTGGTCGAGATGAGTCTGTTCAGCCCTCTTTTTCTTCAGGTCAGTGACCAGATGCTTCCTTGTTGCTCGTTCTTCGCTGGATCTGTCTGGACATATCCATACATCTTTGTGCGTCTCCCTCAGTCTCCCTGTTTTCATCAGAATCTGATGAACCGCTGTTGAGCTTGGGACGGTGATCTTGACTGGTCGGATAGCCGTACTACCTGGCCTCTTCCAACCGACTCTAGTCGCTTCGAAGTGAGGTTTCTCCCCGATCTCCTCCAAAACTGCGGTAACTAGCGCTGGAAGCTGTTCTTCCTCCTCTTCTTTCAGCCCAAACACGATCAGGTTCTTGCTCCTGTCCTCCTCTGCAGCCACACTCTTCATCACCTTCTTCAGGATTTTACTGTTACAGACCGTACCACTTGCACTGTTCTGTTGAACAGCTGCACTATAGTTCTGAATCCCAGACTCCACCGTTGTTTGTACTGTCTCCTCAACAGACGTCTTAAGCAACTGTAGTTGTTCGTCCTTCTGCATCAGCAGCTGGCCCTGCAGTCTGATCACCTTTTCTTTGTCTGCTAGTGCTTCCGTCTTGAAGCACTCGATGATCTCCTTCAAGAGATACATCTGACTACTCTGCCGACGAACAAGGTCCACTGCATCCACAATCCAGCCAGACAGAGTCAGTTTATCCTTAGTCTTGATCTTTTCACGACTTTCGTAGTCAATTTCACGGTAGTCAATATGCAGGTCTTTTTCTAACTGAATGGACCAGCGTGCAACACAGCCTTCCACATCTTCCTGTTGATCATAGTTGAACTCCTTAATCAACTCCTGGGATCGGGTCAAAGTTGGGTCATCCGCCATAGTGTACTTGTATAGTAATGTACAAGTACACACGCAAAGGTAAACTACGCGGTAGCAGCAAACTGAACTTATTGCAAATTTACAAAAGATAAGAGAGCTCGATATTTGCAACACAAGCTACACTGATTACACACATGAGCTACACTGATTATCTGGTGAGAATGAGAAACATAACGATCCGTACAGACCCATTGGCAGGGCAATTGTCCGTGAGATAAGAGGTGTCCGGAATCCGGATCTGCTTCAACAACTTTATCCCACATTTCCGGAATACGCCAAGTGGATGGTTAAAAAGGGATACCATCGGGATAGCCACTTTAATCCACAAATTAGGGAGTTGTGTATACAGCATGCTGTCTATGATTTCATTGTTCCGCTTGAATATTCTCCAATTTTAGGAGACGAAGTTTTGCATAAGATCGATACCAATAAGACAAACCTTTTGGGTTCTTACGACGAAGCGTTCGATCCGCGTTATCAGAAATCTACATTGTACGCTAAGGAGTGGTTAACTCAACTCGAAACTGAACTAATTGATCGCCTTTATACCACTTTTAAGGCAGACTTTACTTTAATGAATTATAGTAATTTTACTCATCCCGATTTTCCACTCCCTCTACACAGTTTGCACTATAAAATGTTAAATGTATAATTTTGAATATTGAATACTTAACCATAGCTGTGATATTATTGTTTCAAGTGGCAACTTGGTCGTTTAGCTCCGGACAGTCTATGCAACGTCTATGCAACGTCCATGCAACAACAAAAGAACCGTCTATGCAACGTCTATGCAACGTCCCTGCACAATGAACACTCTATGCACACTCCCTGCACGGTCAGTCTATGCAACGTCTATGCAACGTCCCTGCACAGTACCATACGAACACCGGCTACTAGCCGGCTACTAGCCGGCTACTAGCCGGCTAGTAGCCACTTTTGTAATAACAGCTCCTCAACTTCACATTACCAACCGGCTACTAACCGGCACTTGAAAAGTGGTCACTAGCCGGCTACTAACCGGCTACTAGCCGGCTAGTGACCACAAAGTGGCTACTAACCGGCTACTAAGCGGTCACTAGCCGGCTATTAGCCGAGCTCTAAAGCAGACCTACTAGTAGCCGGTTCCAAACCGGCTACTAGCCGGCACTTAGAAAGCGGTCACTAGCCGGCTACTAACCGGCCACTAACCGGCTAGTAACCACCAAGTGGCTACTAACCGGCTACTAACCGGTCACTAGCCGGCTCTTAAGCGGACCTACTAGCCTACTAATAGGTCTGCTTTAGAGCTCGGCTAATAGCCGGCTAGTGACCGCTTAGTAGCCGGTTAGTAGCCACTTTGTGGTCACTAGCCGGCTAGTAGCCGGTTAGTAGCCGGCTAGTGACCAATTTTCAAGTGCCGGTTAGTAGCCGGTTGTTAATGTGAAGTTGAGGAGCTGTTATTACAAAAGTGGCTACTAGCCGGCTAGTAGCCGGCTAGTAGCCGGTGTTCATATGGTACTGTGCAGGGACGTTCCATAGACGTTGCATAGACGTTGCATAGACTGACCGTGCAGGGAGTGTGCATAGAGTGTTCATTGTGCAGGGACGTTGCATAGACGTTGCATAGACGGTTCTTTTGTTGTTGCACGGACGTTGCATAGACGTTGCATAGACTGTCCGGAGCTAAACGACCAACTTCCCTTTCAAGTTTTGTCATCGTAATTTATTGGGCTACTAGGGAGTCAGTATGGGGTTCTTAGTAATGCTCAATATAGGTGGAAAACGTTGAGCATTCATCGTTGAATATTCATAGTCATACAGAGATGAGCCCGCAAATTCAATGCCCACCGCTCCTCGGCTCCTCGCCCACGAGTCTCACTAATCACCCTTTCCAACGAATAATATAAATGAGAATGAACTACTTTTAAGAGTGTAAGTATTGTAATCATTGTTAAGAATGGACCTAGGGAGCCGCATACTAACTAGGGGTTCACAAATTCTATTGTAGTTGGTAGGTTAACTCGGCGAGTGGTAGTGTGTCATGATAACTTAGTGGCATTACATTGTGATTCAGGAAGAAGCTACTTACCATTTCTTGAGGTACTCGCTTGGTTTGTGAACCTTACCTTAGAAGCAGCTCTAATCCTATATCCTGTGTCGTTAGAGCTAGAAGCTTTGAGGTCAGCGGTCTAAGTTGTGAGCACTAACAGTAACATTAACCTCGAGCTCGCTGAGTTGGATAGGTTGTAAGTCTGCTGCGTCATAAGTAGGGGGAAGTAACCACCGCGCCGGTCAATACACTTACATAAAGTTATTATATATTAGTGCTTAGTGTGAGCTCTGAGTTGTTCCCCGTGATATAGCAGATAGCTTCCTTGCGTTATAAATATAATCTTGGCCTGGAGCATATAAGTTAATACAGTAAAACCCCTATTTACCGCGCCCCGATTTACTGCAAACCCTGATTTACCGCAGCTTTTTCCTTACTCCCAGATTCTGCGGTAAATCGTGGTACTACTACTACTATATATACTTATATATAGTATATATAGTATATACTACTACTATATACTAGATGCAAGGTTTTAAGTATCTTATATTCTAGGAGCCCTCCACCCCCGTCCCCCACCCCCCCCCCCCCCCCCAGCTCATTGATAGGCCATTGATATTTTTACCTTTAAAAACCCGAATACTTCGAATGCTCATCAGCCACACTTGCTCAATGCTCACGTACCGAGATCGTTTTGAGGGTGAGTTTGGAGCCCCCTATACTCATGAGTCCACTACTATTTTGCTTATTCACAAGAAGCGTTCAGTTTTGGTACCCCCTATTAAGGGATTAACATCCTTAAATCCTTAGATGTCCCTTTATCAAGGAACGGAAGTCATTGGTCGCTTCAACATTTTGCGTTCGTTTACTTCACTTGCCAATGAACTGCTCAATCGTCAGTTATTCAGCGGCCAGCGAGAACACGTAACCTCTCCTATCGTGGATAAGTTTAATACTTACTTAAAATTCTTCTTCGTTTTCTCAGCCTTACTTATATATTTATGTGGATCTTTTGATTCCTTTTCTCAACCATAATATTAGACACACGTGTTTTGTATAGTATTAACTTGATAGAAATAATTCAAATCATTGCAATCTATCATCGTAGTATGTCTCAAATTTGGACACGATTACTCTTGTTCATGTTCATAGCAAGTTTTATCAACATCGCTAAAACAGGTAAGAGTACATCTTATTCGTGAAGCTAACGGTTAACGTCCAAATTGATAACAAGTATAAAAATGTACCGAAGTCTAAGATTAGTGTACTCAAACTTATGAAGACGACCATTACTGTCCAACTTAATTAACAAAACAAAGCTGTTATGTAGAAAGAATGGCTGCAAGAAATAACGCATCGTCACACAATTTAATATTCAGGGCCAAGGTAGGTCAATAAGTTCTCCTTATAGCCATTCCATCATCAGGATTGGTAGAAGTTACAGCAACAGCGGCAACACAGGAATCTACCTTTGAGACCTACCCAGCAACTAACTGCATAGATGGCAATTTAAACACCCTTTGCCATACGAATTCCGGCACAAATGTTTGGTTCAAGATGACGTTTAATGAAATCTCCTGCATTGATTCAGTTAGGATAGTCTGTCACAAGACAGATGGAGAGCAGTTCCGAATGGATAAAGGGAAGATCTTAGTGCTGAACTCTGGAGCTGGTAAGGAGAGTCTATGTGGTGTGTTGCGGACTAGAGAGGGTTCTGACCAGACCTATAACATAAAGTGTGGAAAATATGCGTGTGGGGACCAAGTCAAACTCAGTGTTAGTCAATCGCTATCTGACTACCCGGTAGTGATCGCCATGAAAGAAATGACTGCTTACTTTTCGACTGGTTAGTAAACAAATCTCGTTTGTGTACATTTGCTCATATCTGGAAGTATAATTCATTACAGTTGAAAAATAACTGACAATATTAACTTTTTATCGTTTTTATATTTAGAATAAATTCACAAGAATTAACACGGCAACTGGTGTTAAACTTTATTAGTAATCTGCTATACGTTTGTGGAGTTCATTATCGTCAATTCAGGATGTTTGAAGGCGAACACAAATTTTCCCGGGGATGATATTGTTGATTCTATAACGGGAACAGTAGACGTCAAAACGTGTATTCAGCATTGTCATGCGATAGAAAATTGCAAAGCATTCACTTATCGTGCGGATATTAGCAGGTGTTTTCCCAAAATCAAATCGTTTGATGTAGAGAGTGAGACATGGACACCTGTTATAAATGCTTTTAGTGGCAATATTGGAGAGGACAGCACAGACTGCTCAGGTACAAATTGGGTTCGGGGTTCGGAATTAGGGGTCGGGATTCGGGGTCGGGGTCGGGGTCGGGGTCGGGGTCGGGGTCGGGGTCGGGGTCGGGGTCGGGGTCGGGGTCGGGGTCGGGGTCGGGGTCGGGGTCGGGGTCGGGGTCGGGGTCGGGGTCGGGGTCGGGGTCGGGGTCGGGGTCGGGGTCGGGGTCGGGGTCGGGGTCGGGGTCGGGGTCGGGGTTTTGGGTCGGGGTCGGGGTCGGGGCTCTCCAGCACCTTTTAAAGCTGACTAACACAAACTGATTCCAGCAAGCTGCAGATTTAGATTCTATGTTATTTTGCCATCATGCTTCTTACTGATCGAAACATGTTTCAGATCCTTGCCCGGCGGGAGACTACACCACCACCATTGGATGTCATCAGTGTAAAAAGAACACGTTCAGCCTCTCAGCAGCCCCATCTTGTACGGACTGCTCTGAAAGCAAAGTATCGGAACCTGGATCTCCATCAGCTGAATACTGTCATTATGGTAAGATTATATAATTTGTATTTTGTTTTTTATAATTTGGTGCCAAAACACGATTTCTGTTGACGTCGGACAAATAAATAGCGAATTTGGTGTTCTTTGAGACTCAAGTTGACAGTAAAACCATTGTTGTCGGAAGGATGAAATTTTGGTAAAATTCCGCTTCATACCAATAAAAAATATGGCTAAGTACATGTGTATAGGTACATTTTTGCAGAACAGCGAAAACTGCACCAAACCGAGATTTCAGTCACAATTATAAATATTCAGAGGGTTACGGAAACATTGCAAAGAATGCTGGAAAAGCAACACAATCTACCGATTTTTCGCCAGCTTTTACAGCTGATAATGCCATCGACGGCATAGTTGATAATGTGAACGGGTAAGTACAACACCAGTAATCAGTATAGCATGTATTTTGGATGAGAATCGAGATCTTATTAACATTATGTACTTCGTGCTTTCTGGTTTTCTAAACAAGATCAATATATACATCGGTTAATTTTGAACAGAAGTAATAAATCTGACCAGTACAGCCGTAGTTTAGTATATAAAAAGTTCAAAATTCAGGTTCTCGCAAACTCAAAGTGTGGTTGATCAGTGGTGGAAAGTGGACTTCTCTGCAGCCTACTTCATAGACACTGTCAAGGTTCATGGTCAGACGATAAATGGAGTCTCCGTTTTTGTAGGAGAAAAAAAGGTCGGGACAGTTGAATACGGCCAAACTGTGAATAAGGAGTTTATCTTCTCTGGCACCGATCAGGTGAGTATGTTGGTGAAGATAGTGAGGGAACAAGGCACGGTACCAATTGCACTGGCTGAAGTTGAGGTCTATGGGATTCTTTTTTCAAGTAAGTTTTAAATCTTTTAATCCTTTAAAGCCTACATAACCACAGCTTTTTAATAAATAGCATTTAATGTTTAGTGGTCTAGGTTTATAAATGGAATACGAACAATTTTATGGTAGGTTTACAAGGTTTACAAGAATAAAGGTATGATTTTGATAATTTTCAATCACAGATTTGTTCGCAATTAGGTTAACATGGATGTTATACATATTTCTCTTCGAAAGGTAAAACAAAATCACAAAATGTGGCAAGAGAAGGGACAGCTTCTCAGATTGATGATTGGATTTCACGTGAAAAAAAGATTTGGGGACCAGCCAATAAAGCTATTGATGGAAATTTCAATGGAGTATGGGAAACTAGTCCCACGTGAGAAATTGTTTTTAAAAACCCTTCGTCCCATTAAATACTAATTTTAGATATAAATTTAAAATAGATTTGGATACTTATGGGGAGGCGAATCGTATTTTTTAACCCTGATTCATTAAACTTAAAGAAGTTATTTCAAATTGTTTAAAATATAGCAACTATTTAAGATATTGAAATTCGATAGGTCATCTAATTTTAATGATAACTATTTTCAGAAACTCAGTTACGTGCACGTTGACACGAGGACCGAATGTTTGGTGGAAAGTTGATCTGCATCACCTTCACTTCATCCACAATATCTTGATATACAACAGAATGGTAGAATACCAATCACGTATAGATGGTACCACAGTTCATATTGACGAATATCAGGTGTTAACACTGGAGTATAGGGAAGATAAGAACCCCTTCATAGCGGACAACTTGTACAGGATAGGATCAGAAGTGACAATTCAAGGTGGTACAGGATCTAATGCGTATCTCAATCTAGCTGAAGTACAAATATACGCAGGTAACTTTGATTAGGTTGTAAACATCTAATTTTACAGTACGAGCAAGTAATGGACGCTATATGTTTCTTACGAGAAATATAACTGTATAATAAGTACTGCTTTAGAATCAATACAGATCCATCATCCAATACAATTGTAAAACGTTCTAAAACGTTAAATAACGTTACAACTTACAATAATTTACTGATTTATAGATCGGCTGCAAAAGATAGGAGCAGAAAGTGCAACACAAAAAGACACCTATACAGATAGCAGTTCCAACACATACACAGCTGATAGGTGTATTGACGGCTTAGTGGGTCCCCCTAGCTCTCACTCATCTATTTGTCATACCTTATCTGCACCACCTGGGGAGGAAGCATGGTTCCAGATGGAATTCTCAGAAACGCACTGCTTTCATGTAATTCAGATAGTTCAACATAAAACGGACAGTCACAGTCAGGCAATGACTATGAACAATGCTAAAATACATGTGATTGATAAGATAACGGATAAAGGCAGTCTCTGCGGAACGCTTATCATTAGAGAGGAAATGACGCTCCAAGGACAGATATACGCCATAGAATGTGGTCAAATGAGCTGTGGAAACTTGATAAAAGTCAGCGTGGTTCATCAAAGTACAGAAACACTGGCTATCATTCATATGAGAGAAATCACAGCTTTCGTCACAACAGGTAAGTTGATAATTTATTATCATCTATATTATGGTACTGTTGTAAATCCAACAAATCTCTAAGAATTAAAGGTCGAAGAAAGTTACATTTTGCTCTTAAGTCTCGAATTGTAAATTAAGACACTGTATTCATGATTTACAACCTTACAAGAGCAATTTAACAAAACGTTTGATATTAATTAGTTACCATATTTTCACAATCTAGCAAAAATAGACACAGAATCTACCGAGCCTGTTTATTCCCTACATAAATCATAGATTCTTATAGAATTTATTGAAACAACACTCATTTCAGATTGCAAGCGTCTACCCTCGAGGTTCATAAAAACAGATTCAGCTCTCCCAGTAACAGCAAACACTGTTCTCAATCTGTCCTGTGAGGATCCTTACGAGATTGAAGGAGCAAGACAAGTGACCTGCAACCCGGGGAAACCTTACTCTTACGGAGGAAACGGCCAGCAACCATCTGCAGCACAGGTATTTATCATCATAGTCCAATTATTTTATCTGAAGTAGCTAACTACGACAAGACTACGAATTACGAGCATAATAGTGCTAGTCCTATCTTGTAAACTAATCAATACTTCAGAGTTCAGATACAGCATCGAAATGTTGTCTGCGGTCTTCTTTAAGACGGCCGTATATGACCCACTGGGTGCCACACTATGACCCTCAGCAGGGTCGTTTGTTTAAACTAACCCGTTTCAGGTTGCATGGACCTACCCTGGAGTCCCATGAAATCAGATCCAGTTGTCCCAGTACCAAAGGGCACAACTCTAACACTATCTTGTGGAGGACGTCACGTGCTTCAAGGGTCAAGACACGTGACCTGCAATTCGGGACTAGATTTCTCTTACGTTCAGCAACCAATTTGCAAGAAAATAGGTACGTACTATTTAATAAAACAAATATGTAATAAAACAAATATTTATTTTTACGGCACAATCAAACAATATCAATAATAAATAAATCAGGGGAGGTTTGAAGAGGTTTCAAGTGCCGAAGGCCACTGCTTATCTTTAGGATTTGAGAGTGACCTGTGCTTGAAACCCCCTCAACCATCCACTACGTCAATAAACTTATTATACAAATATAGAAAAATATAGTTATCTAAGCTAAAATTGCTTATTGGTCTAGTTTGGTGACATAGGAGAGCTCAGTTGAGTTTTAGTTTAGGTTTATGTTTTAAATCATAGTTTGAAAGGTTAGCCATGTTTCATGGCAGAGACAGATATCATGTGTGCAGAGCCGTACTGGATGTAGAATTTGAGATATAATATAGATTAGTTACCATATAGTAGGGTCACCTCGATTTTGGAGGGATAGCAAGTGCTTTTTAAGGTTAGATTTAATAATACCTGACGAGGCTGATAAGTCTGAATTTTTGGAAGAACCTGGGATTATTATCCCATCTTCATTAGCATCACATATTTCGAATACATAGGGGATGAGATCATTCCAAATTTTCGTAGAGGTGTACAAAAAGTTCTGTTGGGAGATATCTAACCTCAGTAATGGGACAATCAGACGAAGTTTTTCATTTCTAGGACAGAACTTGAAAAGATCTTGTTCATAATCATACCTTATTTTTAACGGTGTCTATTATGAAAATGTTAAGTGACATAATCTTGCTCATGTATATTAACTGCTGACAGTATTATTGTCGATTATTACACGCAAATTACAATACCTGATCTAGGGCGACGGTATTGTAATTTGGGTGAAGTTACAACAATTCATAATAATTCACAAACCCAAAAAAACAACAAACTTCTCCCAAAACTTACGTGCACCATGCTGCTGCGCGCTGAGAGCACGTGCAACATCCTGACAAAGCTGCTCGACAGCCGCTGTCTCGGTGTTGGGTGGAATGAGGTTGAGACGAACACCATACTCTACTATCAGCTGGCAGCCGTACTTCAGTCCAGAGATCTTTATGTTATCTGAGTCTGCGTTACCCTCAAATTTTATCTGTAATATTTGCTTATTTAAAACCAGAATTTTTATTTTTAGAAATTAACTGTTACCTATAGCTTTTCGTATTACTATAATTTGGAAGGAGTTTATTAAAACCTTATTGATTCATGTATTGTTCTGCACTTACCGAGGGGAAAGGAGCGGAGCAGTCCTGTAACTGATACTTCAGAACAACTTCCATCAAACCTACGTGACCAGTAAAGGAGGGTTTCTGGCACGCTGCCAGAACAAATGACCGGGTTTTATCCAGCCAGGAGTCGGAGGAAGGGTCTGGTTGTAACATCGCTGATAGTTTTACCTCGTCCTGATGAAGAAGATATCTTTACAAGAATTCTGTCCGTTATGAAAAATGCTTGTTGATATTTCTAACATTATTAGGTTTAGTCACAAGAGATTTAAGATATATCTTAATAATGATAATACTTTTGCTTCAGAACTAGAAGGGGAGGTAAGGTAGCAGCTAGGCAACTTCATCTCATCGAACAGTGTGAAGGGGTAGTCGCTAGACATTGTTTCTTTAGTCAGTCGCGGGGGTATAACTTTTTCTGTGTATCCACCTAAGGATAAATCAAGCTGAGATATAAAACTTGAAAATTATTTGCCAAAATTATTTAGATTATCAGATTTGTTAGATGCATAATGTTATTTTTCATACTAGGTTACGCTTTAAATTGCTTGAATATATGTTTTTGGAGTATGATCTTTTACTGTCGAAGTGTGTTATCTAGCTATCTATTTGTTTATAAAAACAATCATCTGAATATTGTGCCAGAAGAATGTTTCACTGTTTCTCCGTCAGCCCACCTAACACGGTTGATCTGACCAGTATTCTGTTCCTTTCTATGCTCGCGTCGTCTATAACTATCTGAAAAAGATTTGAACATGACGTAATAACTTGTGTAAAATATTCAACTTCCTGACTTACAATGGAGTCTCAGTTAGTTGTACAGTAAGTTACACAGCGATCACAGGTGCAAGGGAATACAAACTATCCCAAAAAGATTATTTAATTATTTTACAAATTTACCTTTCCTTCAACTTTAGCCTCCTCCTGACACCTCAGTATAAATGTGATAATATCATGGGTATCAACAAAGTAAAGCAAAGTATCAAGGCACGAGAGCAGGACAGATAGTATCCGCAATCCGAATATCTGCATTATATCGTAGTTCATTAGACTTTTACTCTTCAGGGGAGAATCTGAACGTGTTAAACATGTAATGGTTCAATAGAGATATAAATCAATTTAAATCATTTAAAAAAATAGGCAATGTAAATACTTAATAGGAGTGATTAGGGATAAGGCATCAACGTTCTTTTTAATGAAGTCAAACTTCGACAATATGCTTAAAAACTGAAAGCTGTTAAAAACATCTGATGTAAAGGTTGTTGAAACTACCAATAAAGATGATGCGCTGCAGAATATCATGAATGTTGAGAGGTTCAGGTTGTCTGTAAGTGTCCGGATCCAGTGGTACAAGGGAGTGTGGTTGTTGCAGGATACTGTGTAGCGAATCATATGATAACAGCACCTGTATAGTGTATAATGTATAGTGTAGGGGTCTTAAAGTTTAGATTCTGACTTAGTTTATGTAATTCTATGTTATTCGAGAATTTAAGATAAAAGCTTGGTTTAGAAGTTTTGGTAGTGAAAATTAAGAGTGCACTATTAGTCAATTATTTCTTGTAGCCGCCAAAATGATGATAACATAGCTGTCACTTAGTATATGATCCAGGTATAGCTTTTTATGATCTCAATTCTCAATTAACCAACCAGCAACCAAACCTGAATAAGACTAGTCATGGCTTTGAGCACGACTCCCTCAAAGTAAGGATCAGGAGGCTGAGTAACAGGTACTTCTATTGGAGCTGGAGGACCACCGTTCTCTAGTAACCACCACAAGTTCTGGGACAACTGCCTGGAAAAAATTATATGAGCTGTTGTGGGTTCTGGGACAACTGCCTGGAAAACAATTATATGAGCTGTTGTGGGTTCTGGGACAACTGCCTGGAAAACAATTGTATGAGCTGTTGTGGGTTCTGGGACAACTGCCTGGAAAACAATTGTATGAGCTGTTGTGGGTTCTGGGACAACTGCCTGGAAAACAATTGTATGAGCTGTTGTGGGTTCTGGGACAACTGCCTGGAAAACAATTGTATGAGCTGTTGTGGGTTCTGGGACAACTGCCTGGAAAACAATTGTATGAGCTGTTGTGGGTTCTGGGACAACTGCCTGGAAAACAATTGTATGAGCTGTTGTGGGTTCTGGGACAACTGCATGGAAACAATTATATGAGCTGTTGTGGGTTCTGGGACAACTGCCTGGAAAACAATTGTATGAGCTGTTGTGGGTTCTGGGACAACTGCCTGGAAAATAATTATATGAGCTGTTGTGGGTTCTGGGACAACTGCCTGGAAAACAATTATATGAGCTGTTGTGGGTTCTGGGACAACTGCCTTGAAAACAATTGTATGAGCTGTTGTGGGTTCTGGGACAACTGCCTGGAAAACAATTGTATGAGCTGTTGTGGGTTCTGGGACAACTGCCTGGAAAACAATTATATGAGCTGTTGTGGGTTCTGGGACAACTGCCTGGAAAACAATTGTATGAGCTGTTGTGGGTTCTGGGACAACTGCCTGGAAAATAATTATATGAGCTGTTGTGGGTTCTGGGACAACTGCCTGGAAAACAATTATATGAGCTGTTGTGGGTTCTGGGACAACTGCCTGGAAAACAATTGTATGAGCTGTTGTGGGTTCTGGGACAACTGCCTGGAAAACAATTATATGAGCTGTTGTGGGTTCTGGGACAACTGCCTGGAAAACAATTGTATGAGCTGTTGTGGGTTCTGGGACAACTGCCTGGAAAACAATTATATGAGCTGTTGTGGGTTCTGGGACAACTGCCTGGAAAACAATTGTATGAGCTGTTGTGGGTTCTGGGACAACTGTCTGGAAAACAATTGTATGAGCTGTTGTGGGTTCTGGGACAACTGCCTGGAAAACAATTATATGAGCTGTTGTGGGTTCTGGGACAACTGCCTGGAAAACAATTGTATGAGCTGTTGTGGGTTCTGGGACAACTGCCTGGAAAACAATTATATGAGCTGTTGTGGGTTCTGGGACAACTGCCTGGAAAACAATTATATGAGCTGTTGTGGGTTCTGGGACAACTGCCTGGAAAACAATTATATGAGCTGTTGTGGGTTCTGGGACAACTGCATGGAAACAATTATATGAGCTGTTGTGGGTTCTGGGACAACTGCCTGGAAAACAATTATATGAGCTGTTGTGGGACAACTGCCTGGAAAACAATTATATGAGCTGTTGTGGGTTCTGGGACAACTGCCTGGAAAACAATTATATGAGCTGTTGTGGGTTCTGGTGATCAGCTTTGTAAACTACTAGATGACGTCTTATGGATTAATTTGTATCAGGACAGCATATTATTACATACTCTTTTGAAGTCTTATAAAATCATAATATAATGTAGAAAATTGAGAACTATGAACAAACGAGAACAGCCAGTTATGTATTTCAAGGTTTAGAAATTCGCTCAGATTAATTGAGCTACCTCCTTGTGAAGTACAATAATAATAATCTCAGACGAATATTTTACCTGATGAAACCACATCGCTCCAGGGCTTGGAGTCCAGCAGGAATTCCAACTATTTGACTCACCATGTAACCATATCCGAACTTTTGAGTTTTACTTACCTGCAAAATTATTGATTTTATGAACAGCAGTTATCAATCTTATTGACGGATTAAAAAAAATGATACTAAAATTAAATACAATAAATGCAAAATGACAGTGAAAAGTTGTACTATTGAAAATAATGCCATTAAAATATGGCACAAAAGTTAATAGTTGGTCTGAAAAGTTAACAGTTATCATTTATTTGCTCTATATTTTGTGGGTCAGGTTTTGCCACTGTTAATTGAAGCATTCACGATCTGTATCTTGGCAATTCTATTGACTACTTCATCGCCGAAGGATTGAACAATATGTAGATCCTCTTATCTTAATGTTTTGGAACATCTGAAATTTCATGATCCTCTAAATCACGTAAAATCTAGTCACGAAATACCTACTCAATTTTAAGATACACCCATGATGCAGATGGCCCACTGTCACCAACAGTAACAAAAAACAGTATGTAGATCCTTTTATCTTAATTTTTTTGGAATATCTGAAATTTCATGACCAACCCTCTAAATCTAGCCACAAATTACCTACTCAATTTAAAGATACACCCATGATCCACCACAACTGTCGCCTCTGACAATAATCTTATAATAATGTCTGGATGACACTGCCCCGCATTGCCATAAGTTAACCCTGTAGTTACCCTTGAGTAGCTGTAAGGGTAAAATATACCCTTGAGTAGCTGTGAGAAATCTTGGTTTCCAAGGTACAGGTCATAGAATAGAATATACAGTCTATTAATAACGCTAGATGTTGGGATTATCTAGTTTTTCTACCCTTTTTGTGTGTTATAACATGTTACATTTTGCTGGTCAGATAGCATGTTTGCTTTTAATCTTACAGCCATCTTTAGGTGAGTTTTTTAAATCGAATAATTTTAATTCCAGAGCAGTTTAAAAACTTGAAACCCGGTCCATTTCATCGTATCACAGTTAAGATCTTAGCGTATATATTGAGTGTATTGATTATTCTTGCTCAGTGCTTACCAATAAAACCGCCAGGCTCTGAAACCGAAGTAACATTCAATCTCCTGAAGTCAAACCACAGTGCTAAATCCCGCACCTTGCTCACCGCTGAGGTATCCATTGCTGTGTGCGCGGACAATGTGACGAACACCACTGCCAACACCATCTGCCAATCCCTCAACTACGAGAGTGGACATGTCTTGCCTACCAACCTCACAAGCCGGGATGTTGAGCCTAGCATTTTGATGTCTGATCTTGTCTGTCCCGACAACAGTTTATCAAACTGCAGCTACAAGATCAGTGCTGTTAACCGAGGGAGACTGCCTGTATGGGGCTCTACGCCTGAAGTGTGATCCTCACTACCTAGCTCACTGTTCAACAGGGAAACGATGGGAAAGCCAGCTGAAGCAGTGTGTTAAGTGTCCCAATGACACATACAGCAGAGGAGGCCCCCACTCCACTGAGTGTGTCCACTGCCCTCCTGGAATGCGTTCTGGTAAAGGATCTGGGGGTGTGAGCTGAAGTGCAAGTTTACACAACACTGGAACAAGAAGATATCTAAATGTATTGATAGTTGTCCGGATACGAGGAACTACGGGGACGGTATGACCTGTCAGCCATGTTCAGAAGGAGGAGGTATCTTAGATTCTATCTGTGGGGATGGTGCTAGATACACAGTTGGGCACTGGACCCGGGTCCTATTAGGAGGAGCAGGGGGAGTTCTTCTCTCTGCTGTGGTGAGTATCCTGGTACTATACTTCAACAGAGACAGACAGTGTGGGAGAGGGTGTGGGAGAGGGTGTGGGAGAGGGTGTTGGAGAGGGTTCTGTGGAGCACTGGCCAGCATTCTTAAGCCGAATAGATACGGACATCTAAAGGAGGAGGCTGTAGATGAGGATGAGTGTCAGGCAGGATCCTCAACACAGTCTAGGGTGGCTACAAGCCAGATCAGTGAGATTTAGAGATCACTAAACAATGTATTAAAACGACTTTATCATTTTCTTAGTAGTAAATTGATGAAAATGAACATGACAGACTGATTATATATTTACCTGCAGTTTTTTACATTTTCTCTGATAAAGGTACTCGATACATTGATCGAGCATACACCCTTGGTATAGAAACAGCAATCCCTTCGGCGTGCTAGCAAATCCTGAACACAAATTAATTTGTTTTAAAATTCGTCTTGAAATTCGAATGAACACTGAACAGGTATAAATTTTGTAATTAATGATTCTTCTAATTCCCATACATTGTATCATTCATATACATTATATTTATACAAAGTAAAAATAGGTCACAAGGGTGATCAAATTGCTAACCGAGCATGTTATCGACAAGGATTTCTTCGAAGCAGTTTTCAGATTCCTTATTTTCAGTTTCTTGGGGTAAGACAGGTGGTTGTGGAGTTAAATCACCTGAACGAGAGACTGATTTGTTTTTTTAGCGTTTGATTATAGTTTTATTATTGATTTGTTGTGGATTTGTTATAGTTTTTTATCGATTTGTTATCAATTCGTTTTGATGTTTGGAAATTTTAAAATTTCATACTGAATTTTGAATTATTAATTGGTCAACATTTGGTGATTTCACGTAGAACACAAAATCAATATACAATAACAAGTGCCCCTGGTACATACCAGAGACAGATAAAACATCATTAGCCAGAGCCACAATATTGACCCGGGCCATGACAGCGAGCCCCTCGTGAGTAGTGTAGATCTGTCTGGCTAGGAAGAGTAGAGCTGATAACACATCCTTATCTCTCTGTGTTAGATCCTTCACTGACCCACACATAAGTTGTTTACACTGTTCCCCTATTACACTCGCCATCGACTGTAAAACAGACATTTTACTTTTACTAATAACAATTTATAAGAGCACGTGATGAAGATAACTCATTCAGGGAACAAGGAAAAACAGAGTCCGACTCTGGATTCATGATCAGCAGAAATTAACGACTGAATAGCAATGTATTTTGATACGTACCATTTCGGTGTCTTTGAAACTAATGGTAGTATTGATGAGTTGTGATGACCCAATTGAGTAGGAAGTTAGAAGTGATAATATGTCACAAACTGCCTGCAGGGGGTGATCAGATAGGAAAGTAGAACAGCTGAATTTTAAGTTATTCAACATGTTCGCTGATGTTTATAATGTAATTGTTTTGTTGGCTGCCGTCTCTAAGTTTAAAAAACAATTTTATATAATAGAACCTGCCAAAACAATACTGCCGTCTCTAGTTGAAAAGTGAGAAATAATTTAGAAATGTGATGTAATACCTGAATACATTTTGTACTCCATTTAGGAAGGTCTAAAAGTGGCTGCAGTAAAGTTTCCAAAACTTGTTCATTTGAGAGAAGCTTTCTGCATTCCTCTCCTGTACGGGAATTAGTTTCGAGTCAAATCCTTAATGTCAGCTTTACTTTATTGGGAATTTTACTGAGCAATAAAGCGATCAAACAAAACCAAAAATCAAATCAGTGACCATGTACGTACCGGACACAATAATTTCTCTTATCAGTTCGCAGATGATATTCTGAGGGTGAAGAGAAGAGTCCATTAGATTAAAAACACTGTTATCTACACTCATCATCCGGATCAGTGTCTTGAGAATCTCTACCACTCCATTTGCGTTAGTCGCAGCACGAATCAGATCTCGACCGGCTTTATACTGAGGAAGTTAAATAGTTAATGAAAACCTGCAGTGAAGTAAATGTTTGTGGTTATCATTGCCATCGTTAAAGATTGAATAAAAGCATTGATCATCTTTAGAATTGAATTGTATTATCATTACCTGTGCAGTATAAGCGATAACGTTTGCGGAGTGAACAAACTCCAAATACTTCAGCTGCCTCCAACTGTAGGTAAATGAGCTATAAATATCTTCAGGAGCAAGGTCTGGGATAACAACAGAAGACACACACTCAATAGAGCTCTTCAGTAGCTGATCAAACTTGCTCATGGCCAGGATCACGAGATTGCGACTAAAACAACCGTGAAGCCACTTCCTAAACCACAGCGCTTTGTGGTCGAATAGTGAGAGGAAGTGAAGGGGTTTCAGGCAGCCATCTTCTGGAACATTCAGTGATAACAGTTCTATTGTCTGCGTTATAGGTTGTATCATGTACCTCTCATGACATCGTATCCAGAAGGAGGTGATGTCATGTTGGAAGATGGAGAGCAGCATGAACCGTCTCAGCAGACACCTAGTGTTTTTGTGAGCTGTATCCAGACCATTTCTCATCTCCACATGGTACGTGGCGCTACTCTGAAAGTGCTGGATCAGGTGACCGGACAGACTGGTGTACAGTTCAGCTGTTGAGTGAGATGTACCCGAGTTGAACAGTTTAGCGTGAAGACTCAGGGACTCTTCAGCGAAGTTGTAGTCTTCGTCAGCTAGACCATCCATAATTCCCTGACGTATTACAGGCCAATGCTCACATTCACCTGGAGCTGTTTTGAACAGACAGTTTAAAGCGTTTTGTCGTACATGTTTGGGCATGCCAGGATCCAAATTCTGTGCAATTTGAAAATATTGATCCGACGTGAAGAACATGCAACCGGTTTGATTTGAACTGGATGATAAATCGTCATTTGAGACATAGTTTTTATCTTTGAGGTATGGTGTACCGATTTCCCATCGAATTGGATCGTGATAAATTTCTACCATAACGTCAATAATTTCTTGCATAGACAAACAGAAACTTTCTTGAAGGGCAACAAATTCTGGCGAACTAAAAACAACCTCTGTAACTTCTGGAATAACATCTAAAGGTTCACTATTAGGTCGCTTGCTTAGTTCATTTTCAATGATAACTGACAGTGAATCGTCTATTTTCTTCTGAAGTATTTTAACAAACTCAAATCTGTGAAACTGTTCATGTGTTTGTTCAAGGTGTATGAGAATATCATGGAATATCTGGGGAGTGATGGTAGCCTTATTAACTTCGCACTCAACTGCAGTAAACAGCTGTTTTAATGCTATCAGAATGTCTTGTTGTTCTGGATACAGGGTGGTGGGATCTGCCATGTCCTGTAATGTCATTCTATCTGCACATTGCTAGGAACCTATTTTGTTAAGTTTATACTTTGTAGTATGAAAAGTCGTGATAAATTAACGAATAACATTAACGAACGAACTTTTTTCGTATGCAATGTTTAAGGAAACGCAATTGAAGACAATTGATTAAAACAAGCAAAATATCAAAACTTTAATTTGAAAAATATAAATTCTGAGTACATTCGAAACACCGATCCCATTAAAACTATTTACAAAACAAACTATCAGTACCTTAAAATAATACATAGTACTTAATTAAACTACATACAAGCATCTGCTACAGATAGAAACATTGCATAGTTCGAATCAGGAGACCCATAAACTAATGACGTCTCATTAGCAACCATAAACTTTATCTTAAGTGGATTATGATGAAACACATGTTTTATAGCCCTGCTTATCGGATCCCAAACAATAAGAACATGAGCATCACCAGCAGTTATCATAATCCACTCATTTAGAAAGATGTGTCTAACAACCCCAACGTGGGACATGTGATCTATATACAGCACAGTCCCCTGAAGGGTCCAGAACACAACCCTGCTGTCCGCCCCACCAGATACAAGAGTTGATTTGTTGGTAGCTATACAGTACACTGATCCTGAATGGTGCCGCTCAAACTCTGTTACCTTTAGGTAGTCTGATTTGTTGTATCCCAGTTTTATGCGACCAACACCGCCCTCCGCAGAACCGAAGTATAAGTAGTTAACTGACAACTGTGTTGAGTACATCACATGCTCTGATTTGAGGGAGACGATAGGTTTTTTTGGATTGAAAATGTTGAAAGAAATAAGTTTTCCAGACCAGTAAGCAACAATTAGGTGCCAGTCATCGTGTATGCTGGAATAGGAAACTTCTTCTTCTTCATTATGAATACAGATTACATTGTTTTGCCCAATCGTATTCAAGAAGATTTCCCCAGTATCAGCTAAAAGAACAATATGTGTTTCAGTTATATGACAAAAGTCACAAACTATACCAAATTTAAGCTGGGATCTGTATTCCTCGAGGTTAGCAAGGTTGATTACAACAAGTTCAGATGTCTGATCATCAATAGCACAAACATGGGTATTTGAAAGGCAAAGTGAGTTTGCTGCAACCTCCATATCTTTTTTGAATACCATGATACTTTGATGCCGATATACCTCATTGTTGAATGTTACGTAAAAACAACTGAGGCACTGATCAGTGCCAACTCCGACCATATTTCCACATCTTGCAAGTGAAGACAAAATGTTTTGACTCCTTCTTAACTTGCTGGATTCGAAGAAAATTTTGCAAGGTGCATATTTCCCCGAAAACCACAAATTTCGATAACTTATGTACTGTTTACAGATTTCCGACCAAGATTGATTTTCATTACGCTTCCTCCAACCCAAAGATACAGCATAATCTTGCCAAGATTCGATGGTCACTCTTTGGAAGCGTCTAGAAACAACACTCAGTTGAAATCTGTCAGACACAGACAAGTGTGAACAAATCGTGAGAAGTATTTCTTCAGGTAGTGATTCCATGGTTGTGTCATGGTGTTGTCATGGTGTTGCAATCTGTATCTAATAAGGTGCACTAAAAGGATTTAAATGAGAAAACAAAAGAACGGTAAAATACATATCCTTAGTGGCAGACCAACAGACATCATGAAAATGGGTATAATTCGCTATGATTTTTCAGCATTGTTTTAATCTTTAGCCAATTATATTCGGACCGGAAGAACAATGCTTTCTCGAACGAAATATACTGCTGGTCTAGAATAGGTCTTCATTTAGTTGTTTCTCCGAGGGCAAGCTGCAAATTTATGTTTTGTTTGAACACCCATTCACTAAACGATAGATTTTAAGGTGTGCCAGACGCGCTTTTACGATTTATCAAACACTATTACGCCACATAACAACTTCCCGCAGTTATGATCAAACAATGAAGCTTGCCTCACGAGAAAATATAGCTTATTTTGTTTTATTGTATATTAATTTCTTAATCTCTGTAGTCTTTTGTTTATCCTTTCTGTGCACCTGATTCACGTACTCTAGTTCGACAAATAAATTTCGGCAGAAATCACCCCTTTCGAACTTTGATACGTGTCGAACCTGAGTCCAAGTTGCGTACTCTAGTTCAACAAATATTTTCGCTCCATTTTCTACTTGTAATCGAACGGCTCACGTTATGATCAGATCGTGTGGTATTTTCTCTCTTAACTTTCTATCCCACATTTTTGTACATGAACTTTTGCCAATTCATAATCTGATAATTTTCTGACCCAAGGTATGGCATATGATCTTTATAATTTCATTGTATATATTGGTCTTAGCCAACTCCCAGAGTTGTTCTCACGAATTTAAAGATGCCTACAAGCCTGTTGCCAGTAAAGACGGAGATTTCATTATTGCTGGAATCTTTAATGTTGGAAAGGTAAAAGCTTGATTCTTTTCTGTAATATGTCATCAAGTTTTCAAATGAACAACTGAACATTGAAGAACATGCAAGTTTTGAATACCCTCATGTGTTTACATTGTATTGCACCGACAAGATTTTTATTTCTTCAGATTTTAAATCTACAGAAATTGAAAGTAAGAAAATTACATCAGGTTGGGACTAGACTTGAACTAGAAGATGGTGCAAGTATGGCCACAAAGAATGTTACATATTGTGCTTATGCGGATGCCAAACAATGGGGAGTACAGAAAATGTTGGCAATGAGGGACGCGGTAGAGATGGAAGGGCAAAAATTAAGGTAGATCCGGAATTTTTGCAAGCAACTTTTGTTCTGCAAATTTTCAATTTTCGATCGTTAACGATCATGCAATGATTAGAACACTGCGAATTTTGTGTTGTCTTATTTATGGAGGTGATGACACCAGAAAATAAGATATCTTAAAGACTTTTCCTATTTTTAAGACTGGATATGACACAGTCGTTACCATTCTTTATGCTTTATTAAATAATGCATCAATGGACAACATAACATTTAGATTCTGTTAATTTTCAGAAAAATCAATGCAACACTCGGCTACCAGATATATGACGCATGCAACAGCTACGCTGTAACCAGCAGAATAGCAGGTGCCATTGCCAATAACAAGAAAGTTGTTGGAGTTTCTGCTGTTGATTATAAAAGCTTAGTGAAGTTTTCATCACAACATATTGCCTCGTATGAGATTCCAATTTTCACATACATGTTTACTGATGATGAAATGATGACGAATAACATCTTTCCGTCATTATTTTCTATGATAGACTCAGAAGAAAATGAAGGAAAAATCATAATCAGTTTTCTAAAACTCATGGACTATCGCTATATGGATATCTGGTACCACAAATTCTCTAAAGAAATGGCTCATTACATTTGGGACAATTATGTGCAGAAAGTTGAAAATGGCTGTGGCAGAATAGCAGAGGTAACCTTAACATCGGATTTTTACAAAATAAAGGAGAAGTACAAGCAGTCAGGAGGAAACTCGTCCCAAGTCCAGTTGATCTTGTCCAACAGTAAAGCAACCACTACCAGCATGCTGAAGCACATGACTGAAGAACTTAGTTTCCATAACAAGATTTACATTTTGGGTATTTCAAATGGTCGAAAGAGTTTTCTTAAACACTATACCACTGTGATAAATAGTGATGAGTCCCAAAACAACACTCTGGTTCTTCCTTTGGCACCACTGTTGAATATGGAGCTACCACAGATGAATACGAAGCTCAATGCAAAGTGGCAGCCAAAACAAGAAAAAATTGACTTGATATACCGAGAAATACAAAGGAAAATAGGCTGTTTTGAAAGTCCTGGACACTGCTTTGATCAAACTACCAGTTGGTTACCTTACGTCATTGGAGGAATCAAAGTTATCATAAACTCGTTGCATGAGATTCTTTTAATCACTGATGGTCCAGTTTGTATCAATGACATGAGGAACAGGATTTTTAATATGATTGAAGACAACAGCAGGAAATTCCCAGTTAACTTTGAATCCAACGTTTCCTATGACATGCTCTTTAAAGACCGAGCCTTGCATCTTGGCTATGACATTGGTATTTATCAAAGCAGGATGGACAACTTTAATATCCTAGGAAAAGCACATTCAGAATCACTTACATTGAACGGAACTAATAAAACATTACTAGAAAATATTTCAATCTACAACAAAACATGTTCAGAAGACTGCACACCGGGATTCTACAGATATTATGATAATCATGAGGCACTATCATTCTGTTGGACTTGCCAGCCCTGTGCTAAAAACACTATCACCACTGAAACAAATGCTGGACAGTGTGAACCATGTGGTCTTGAAGAGTGGTCGACATTCAACAACACCTGCACACAAGTAGCAGAGTTATACATTTCAGTAAACTCTGGCTACTTTCTTGTGGGGGCTGTGACTGCTGGAGTTTCTATAATGGCAACCATCATACTTGGTATCATCGTCAAGCGCAATGAAATAAGACCCATTGTAAAGGCATGTGACAAGGAGTATCTTTACCTAATGCTGTTCAGCTTGACATTGGGATTTGCAGCAAGTGTCATCCCATTACTGAAGCCAACCAGCTATTCCTGCTCTGCCGAATATCTTAGCCGAATTCTGGTCTCGAGTCTGATAACTACAAATTTGGCATGGAGATCCATTATGGTGTACAGAATATTCACTGCAGATAGGATATTAGAACACAGAAGCTTTGGAACCATCAAAATCTTGATCTTGAATATTGTTATTTTGGTTATTGTTATCTCCTTTGGTTTGATAGATGTCCTTGTGGTAGGGCCTTCGTGGTACATTCATAGAACACAAGAAAGAGATCATGAGCCAATGTATCTAATATGTAAAAGCCATGGGGTAGGAGCTACAGGACTGTTTGCATTTCTCCCACTTGTACCTGCAATTGCAGCTTTTGGAACAACCCTTATTCTCGCATTCAAGATGCGACAATTTCCTTTCAACTTCAAAGAGACTTTGAATATCTTTGCTGCTGCAATGATCTGTCTCTCATGTTACCTCATGTACTTTGCAGGATATAGTTTTTCTAAGGATTACTACAAATCACTCCTTCGAACCATATTGTATCTTGCCAGCAACCTCGCCTTTTTATTTTGTATCTTTCTACCTAAAACGATAGTGCTGCTCAAACCAGATGTTGACCTAGAGATGGAGAGAGCAGAAGTAAGAAGTTCAGTATGTACTTTTGCAAGTATGCCTCCCAACTCAGGGAGAAAAACCATTAAAAGGTGTGCTACAACAGCATAAAGCTTTGCAGGGGACATCATTCAGCTGGTTTTGTGATCATTCCCAGGATTGGGTAGCATGGTAGGGATAAAATCTGTACCCACTGCACTGGGTATCCACTTAAGACCACACAGAAAACAAATGACTGTCTGACGTTTGTAATACCTTTTATATTTACCTACGCAAACGATCATGATTTTATTTGATGTGGCACCCAGTATCATATATATAATATATCTCCCAAAGAGAGTGCTTGCTGCGGTTTAGCAGGAGCATCATAATTCGAACAATTTAAAACAATCACTGAGGATTGGTAATGTTTTCTACATATCATGAAATGAATCATTTGCCGGCCAATTTGAGTGTTTCTCTTTGTTTGAAATATATATGTAATATTTATAGAAACACTGTGTCTATTGATATTATATATATATATATTTGTTTTCTGTGTTTTTTAAATCTAATTATTTTAGATTCGAATTTTGGTAATGATAGAAATAATATAAAGTAAAATGCTTATATTTTTAAATATTACTATCCGAAAATTTAAATTGCTAAATAATAAAACTGTATTGGTCTAAAAAGTTACATGTATTGATTATTAAAAATCCAAATTATTCTATATTTTTATTGTATCACATGGTGACCCCCACTGTCGCTTCACTGTAGAGTTTCAACGATACAGGGGGAGCCGCACACTCGTGCGCGGCGGGTCATACAACGTGTGACAATATTTTTCGACAACTTATATTTTCCTCCAGCGCACACAGTGAGTTTCGCGCACTTTGCAATGAATAGTCATGAATTAGTTATAATTTGACTATTGTTAATGGTCTGGCCCAGCGCGCAACTTCATAGCACTTGCCATATTTCGAGAAAAAAAGTTAACAGGTGATATTCGTAAAATATTTGTTTGTACAAGTCCCTTTCAGCGCGCGCTACTTCGAAGAAATTTAGACGATCAGTAACATCCGTCAAGTAATAATTTTGCCAAAATCGTGTTATACAACGTAATCAATGACAACAGAGTAACAGACATCGACAGTGATGAGTGAGCAATGATAAATGAGACGCCACGCACAAAATGATGCTTCTCGTCTAAGTCGTTCCTTACATAATTTCACATAATTAACCACGTGCTTGCTATGACCAGAGTTGACCATTGTTAATGGTATGGCCCGAGAAGAAAGCGGCGCGCGCTATTTCGAAGAAATTTAGACGAGTAACATCCTTCAACGGGCGCGCTTGTCATGTTTGTTTCACGCGCGCGGCGTCAGTACTGCAAACGCTAGGGCTCTGGATAGAGCAAGGAGGCGGGCGCATGCTACTGCAAGCGCAAGGGTTCTGGATCTAGAGCAATCACATAATCATATAAGTTTTTGCTACGTGACGCGCTTGTTTTCTTTGTGCTTGTCGCAGCGCCTTTAGTGTTTTTACATAAACAATTGACCATTGTTAATGATCTGACCCGGCGCGCGCTACTTCGTAGCTCTTGCCATCGAGAAGAAGAAAGCGGCGCGCGCTACTTCGAAGAAATTTAGACGAGTAACATCCGTCAACATAAACAATAAACATAAAGGATGATGATTAATCACTCTACACTTGACTGTCACGTGACTTTTCAAACCTGTTCTCTAGCTGGCCCTGAACGACTATTCGAAACCCTAACCCTCTAGTCTGATCCCAACCGTAACCCTAACTCAATTCTTAACAAAGGCATGTATGCTGAAACCCTATCCCCGAGTAATTAGACTAATTTCCTTATACGGTCAAATCACGTGATCGAGACAGTTTTCGCCATGAATATCTCTGATCTCGTCAGGGGAGCATTTCAACCTTATGTCATGGGAGTGATTTGGGATCAGCGTCCGAAAATACATTGATCGAAGTTGATTTCAACTGGAGGGGGCCATTTTAGAACAATATCGAAGATCGACTGTAAAGTGATTTAGCACGCTCGAAACATAAACAATAAACTCCGAATATAGATTCGGCAGAATAACAGGCTGAGCGCGCGACCGCCTGGCCCAGTAATGCAATGAACTTTGCTCTATCCAGAGCCCTTGCGCTTGCAGTAGCGCGCGCCCGCCTTACGGTTTGACTTGTGAAACAAGCGCGCCCGCAGTGGCGCGAAAGCACATGGTTAGTTGAACAATGAACTCGTCGACATTCGGAAGCAGTCTTATAAATAATATTTTATGCATTTGTATTACTGGGCGGTTTTTAGCCTGTCATTCCGGCGAATCTTTAGCTATTCGGGTTACTCTAACCAGACCCTCTCGCTTGCAGTACGCGTATACACATGGCTATGTGAACTATTCGGGCTAAGTGAATTACGACCATCTTAGAGATTTTTCTAAAAGGGCCCCCGATAGTTCAAACCAACTTGGATCGATGTATTTTTTCACGTTGATTCTGAATCAATCCCATGACATAAAGTTAAAATGCTCTCCTAGCGAGATATTGGTGAAAAACTGTTTCGATCACATGTTATGACCATACAAGGAAGTTGATTTAATTTTAATCTTTAGGGTTAGGGTTTTTTTAGTTGTTGGCTTAAATTAGTTATGAACATATTTATACTTATAGCCTGGTATAATAGTTGTTACCTGGGGACCTCAGGCTATCATGTTCATTAACATATTATATAGAGATTTGGCGGAATGACAGGCTGAGCGCGGCCCAGTAAAATAATTGTAGCGCGATACACTATTGCCACTGGGCCGTGCCGCAAATCCAATAATGCTTTTAGTTCTCGCAACCGGCACAGATCGCGTCGGCGAGATGCGAAGGATTGACATTGTGAATCAACTCTAACCAGAGCCCTCTCGCTTGCAGTAGCGCGCAACTGCCGAATATACGGCACAGGAAACAAGCGCGTCACGCAGTACGCGTTGACACATGGCTTTATGCAGTATAATAGCCTAATAGGGTTAGGGTTAGGATTAGGTTTAGGAAATCAGAGTAATGGTTACCTGGCGACCCCAGCACCCAAGCTAAAGATTCGCGTTCGAATAGAGATTTGCTGGGCCGCGCTTAGCCTGTCATTCCGCCTAATCTCTATGTTTATAAACATGATAGCTTGAGGTCCCCAGGTAAATAGAGATTCGCGTTCGGCGGAATGACAGGCTGAGCGCTATCATGTTCATAAATATAGAATAGAGATTAGGTGGAATGACAGGCTGAGCGCGGCCCAGTAACCCAGTCACCAGTAAATAAAAATAATGGGTGTTATTTGAAGTGTAATATAGATCGACATATATAAACCTACTATATAATACAAACCCGCAAGTTATGTAACTGGTGACCACTGACCAATAAGTTATTGACGGCCGGTGTCAACCCATCGAGATCGTTGATCTGCGAAGCAAAAATGCTAGTTTGCGCGGCGCGTCGAAGCGGCGAAGTCCTCCAAACCAATAACTATCAAATGAAGTTTTCTCGAGCGTGCTAAATCACTTCATATACTGATACAGTCGTGAGTCGATCTTCGAGATTTTTCTAAAAGGACCCCCGACAGTTGAGACCAACTTTAATCGATGCATTTTCGGACGCTGATCACCCCCATGACATTGGACATAGGGTTAAGATGCTCCTCTGCCGAGATATTGACGAAAACTGCCTCGATCACGTGATATGACCGTATAAGGAAGTTAGTCTAATTACTCATTAGGGTTATATTAGGGTTTCAGCAGAGGGGTCGTTCACATATTACGTAATCAATATTTGGCAATTTTTACCCCCCCTCCGTAATCAACCGTAATCAAGACCGAACCCCCCCCTTCCCCCATATATTACGTAATCAAAGTTTGACACCCCCGCCCCCCGTAATCAAGACCAACCCCCTTCTATATTACGTAATCAAGATTAGACAACCCCCCACCACATTGCCCATTTTTGAGTTAAATTTTGATGTAGAGACACAAGAAATACACATTATTCATTGTTGTCTGAGACTTTGAAAACCCCCCCTCGGCTGATTACGTAATATGTGACCGACCCCATACGCTTTTGTTAAGGATTGGATGAGGGTTAGGGTTGGGATCAGATTAGAGGGTTAGGGTTTCGAATAGTCGTTCAGGGCCAGCTAGAAAACGGGTTGAAAAAGTCACGTGACAGTCGAGTGTAGAGTGTAGAGTGATAAATCATCATCCAAGTTTTCTCATGTAATTGATCAATGATCATATTCATACTATACGCAGTGCAAGCTATACTTACGTTACAAAGAACAAGAAATGATCAAGTACTGCAGGCCTAAAAAGTAATTAGTCTAGGATCGATCTCAATTGTGTTGAACATTAAAACTAAATGTGTATACAGTATACACATTACACCCTCAACACTGCATGAACTATAAAAACATGACATTACACATTTCCATTCGATATTTTTTTGTTCGCGAACGCTTTTGGCTCTCAGTTATACTTATTGGAATACGACATAAAACTTATATTATTGTAAATTCAAAATTAATGCCAATGATATCATATCCAATATGACCATGGTCGACTTTGTCCAAATTTTAGGTTGACTATTTATTGTTTATGTTCCATATTGCTGAAGTAGGCCAGAGTTCTAGTTTTTTTAACACATTTACGTAGTCTCAATTTCCTTGCTTTGATCCTCTAACTTTAAGTGATGATGAAGACAGCAGTGGTTCTATCCATTCTTTCAGTAGTCGTGATCTCCACCACAGAAAACAAAGAGGGTGTGTCTTGCTATGATGGGTGTGTGGTGGTAAAAGATATTTTTTACAGCGGGATGTCATCTGATATGACTATGGATCTTGTACCAGATGAGGACAGTGAGTAACTTTAACAATGAATAGTATTAATATTCAAACAGGTTGGAAGATACAAACTATTTTTATTAATTGCTCCGCTTGCAGTTCTATTGTCTATGAAGTATGAGAGATAACAGTCACTTGATAATTAATAATGATATATCTACTATTATCAAAATTGCAAACAAAATTTCCAAGCTAAATGCAGCTCGAACTTCGTTGATTTTATTGCATATTGACTAAATGCTAAATTAATTTCACTTTCAGAAGAGTGTAGCAAGAACAGCACCATTTTAAAATGCGCCAATGATGAGGTTTGCAACGTGTTGTCCGTTAATATAACAGCCTTTTTTGAGGGTTACGTCACCATACCAGGTGCCATTTCATTGAGGAGGGACGCTTGTAGACCTGCTGGGAACGTTCTCGGCAATGAAGAATGTAAACAGATCGAAGCAGAGGTTGTGAGCAAGATGACACCGATGTTCACAGCTGTTGGTTTAAATATCATCATGGACCCAGAATCAAGCTGTGATGAGAACAAGACAAGGGACTGCACTGAGGGTTGTAT